AACTCGATTATTTAGCTAGACTTCAAAATAAGGCAATCCATATCACTGTATAAATTGTGGAATTTCTAGTAATTTTTAGACGTGCTTAGCCGGTCTAGAAACTCTGCGTATCTAGAGATATTGACCAGGGCCTACACCAATATTCTTAACACCACTTATTAAAGGATGCATGCATCAAGGGGTAGACATCATTTAAAAGACATAAACATGACCGGGTCGGTCAGGGGAAGGTTTGCATACGATGCAATTTGTACATGCAAGCTCATTTTTCACATATAAATTAATAAAGTCGATTCCTTGGGAATACGTTATTGGGTTTATAAGCGTAACGAGGAGAAGCGATGGGTTCGCACCCCCTCCTACAAGCAATAAAAGGTACCATAAGGTAGAGGAAGAAAAGAGCATTAAATTGATTTTTTGTTTGAAGCTTCTAGCTCAGGTTTGAAGGAAGTTGCATCATTTTCGTAAAAATTCAAAACAAATATTTTTTGCCTCATTTATGTCACGATCGCACCCCCCGACTGAAAACCTAAAATATTTTGGTGATTGCATCACCCCTCCCCCCGACTGAAAGCTGGCTACGGCCCTGGGGTTTTATCGAAAACTATATCGTCAACATTTTATCATTATGCGGAAAGTCCAATATGAAATCTTAAATGGTAAATATGTTGCATTTATGGAGGGAATTCCACTGTAAACTATAATGTGAATGTTTGATATGAATACTTCCATACAACCATCAATATCCATTCTTTTGAAATAAGATGTTACAACAAAGGGAATATTGAAAACTACAGTGGTAAGAGCATCTTTCTGACTGCTAATTATGTGTATCAACATTTTGATTGCACCTCAGCTGGAGATTAAATCTTATAATAATTTGATCAAAGGGATTGTAATTTTCCCCAATTCGCTTATCTATGTTACAATCTGTATACTTGTTATATTGTGAGCGGTATGTGTTGATAAACCAAAAAGATATGTTTTTTGGATATCAACATTTAGAAAAAAGTGTAAGATACCATTCTATATATTTTCTTAGTGTTTAGCATAGGTAAGAATGGGGGATGGGCTGGTGGGGGTCCGGTTTTGAATAATTCCAAGGGGTTCATATATTATCACAATTTTGCTACAAAATCACTTGGAAAGTGCATGATTTGAAAGATTATTTGGCCAAGGCGTCCGCTATTAACATGAGTATGAATTTTATAAAAAGATTACTTGAATCAAAATCGAAGAATTCCTTGCCCCGTGTGTTCACCATTCACCCCGGGGGTTCACACTCGGCTCAGGTGGGGTACCTTTTTTACATTTGGTATGTCAAGCCAATGGACCCACATTTTAAGACAGATTTTTCCATTTTCTGGTATAAGAGTCGGTGTGGAAAATATGTTACCCCTCAATTGTGGTACGGCATTGGTCCCGGGGCATTGGTCTAGTTGTTACACATATCCTTCATTTGAGGTTGTTTATGATCATTTTACTCAAAGATCTGCCTTCTTCTCGGGGCATTCGATATTTCGAATGGCCTTGGTCTTATATTCTGGATATTTGGTACCCGGGGGTATGGCATTGGTTCTATATTTGGATGTTTGACATGGCATTGGTCTTGTGTTTGGACATTTGATATGGCTTTTTGGGGTTTATTTTAGTTTGTATGAGAACACATTTAATGCCACCCCCCAAATTACAAATCTACATCTATTCTCTCTATCCCAAAGGTGGATCGGAAGCATGAAAAACAGATGCAGACTCGGGACAGTTGCGAGGGGGGCTATAATGGAGAAATTCGTTTTGATTTTGAGTCTAACTGAAATATTTTGTCACAAATATTAATTAAATACGCAAATAGCCTGTTTTATTAAATGAGACTAGGGCAAAAAATCTATTCATTAAATCTAAAGCCTAGACGATATCTTCTGTAATCAAGGTGGTTTTGGTACACTTCCGCAATTATAAAAACAAAAACATAGACTAAGTTATTAATCTTTTGTTATCATATCAGATTAAGTCAGTTTTGTCTCCGATTGTTATGCAGGTGTGTGTATCGACTCCAGTGAACAACATTAAGTGAATCAATCCTTGAAATTCCCAAATTCATTCCAAATTCTGGCCGTTAACCGCCCCCCCTCCCCCATGTCTCTTAATTACATTTATTTTGCAAATGATATATAAATTATAGATTAAAATATTTCATTTTCGAATTGCACAAAGGGCAACATGTGAAGATAAAACCGCGATCCTAAAGCTACTTGCGAAACAAAGTGGTTTATGGTCCCCAATATCATTATTATATTAATACCAATACAATGTACCTCTATGAATATCATAAATTCACTCCTTTTTAATATCAATAGTCAAACAAATTAAGTAGTATGCTACAGTTGGTTATCAATCGGAGTTCACGACCTATTGATTACTCTATAATACAAAATTTAACCATTTTAGAATGGGTAACTCACACCCCCCCCCCCCGTCCATGTCCGTGAAGTGCGTAGACTGACATAATAGTGCCATTTATTAATTAAACATCACTGATTTATGTTGAGACATTCAGTGCGATTATTTAATTTCTTTGTTCAAAAAGTTAAAGCACCAATTAAATACATATTTTTATCACACAAAAGGGGCAGAATACTTGACCTTGTATCAATTCATATCCCGATAATTCTTTACAAGGGAATGTTTCTTATTAAAACATAAGCAGCGCCTAGGCGTCGATTGGGGGGGGGGGTCAATCCGGTGTTCTCAGGCTATGTACAGCCAAGTATCCTGTTTATGTAAAAACCCTACGTTCCCGAATCACAATCAGACAATTAATTAGTATATTTGCTGTGTCTAGCAATTGATCATAGAATTAGATGTTGCGAAAACTATGGGAACTTGTACCTGTCTGTTTATGGATAGGCTGGGAAAGAACAGCAGAGAGAATGGTACATTCGATTGAATATGCTTGTTTTGCCCAATTGTGTATTAAAATGCCCCTCATTTATCATATGTATGGTCACAAGTTAAGTCGGCGATAATTTGTATTGACTTAACTTGAAACAAATTACTCCGAAATCCAAATACTCACAAATTACTCCGAAATCCAAATACTCATCGAAAAGTAAGTTTATCTTTATATTAAGCTAATACAAAATAAATATATAAATAGGCCTGATGTATCAGTGTTTTCAAAGTTTATTACACGTTTTATCCTTGAAACGCCTTTCTTTTTCTTATCATGATATGTATTTCCTTCACTTAGGATCAATGCGTCGATTAGCATTGCCTGTAACTGATTTATATTTTCAAAAGGCGGCATGAAATTGCCAAAATGTTTAAATAAGTCAATGTGTCAGCGTACATACAAAATAGTCTGTTTAATATTTGCTACATGTACTTGTTCCAAACAGTCTGCGAAAGAATGATTAAAAAATATATCAATTAAAAGTATCAGAGAAAATACTTGCAATCGTTAAAATACTGTATGTATTGCTATTGGTAATTAGGTTAGTTGTTTACACATAATTATGTTGTTCAGTGTGCCAAGAGCGTGTCAAGAGGTGTAAAGAGTTGAATTCATCGCGTGTCAAGAGGTGTAAATAATTGGCACGTCTAGAAACCCGGCGTGTAAAGACCAGTTTCTAGACGTGTCAAGAGTTGGAATCCCATATTTCACGCAGTGAAAGATTGTGATAAAGAAAGTACGATTCGCCCATGCTAGCCATTTTTGCACGTTGGAATACTTTAGTAGTAACAATTAGCGTTATAAAAATATTTTTTTCAGGAGAATACATGGAAGACATGAAAACATAGTTCAAAGATTAACACACATTCGTTTTGATTTGATATGCTTCTTATGGCTCTAATGCTATCCTACACTTTCTTTTCAGAGCAATGGACATATTATCAAAACTTCCAATCCACAACTGAATATGTTCAAATTTCCAACGCCATTTATTAACCTAGTTTATTAACCGAGATTGATAAGAATTATTAAATTTCGACTATCTTGATGTCCACTCACTTCATAAACCTTCTTATTTACATGGACAAGCTCAAACATATGTCATTATCAACCTATTCATGCTCAGACAGGCTTCAAGCCATTTGAACAAATCCAGACAAGTCCTATAAAACAATAGTATACATGGATTAGATTATACCACACACTAGGTGACAAAATCAGGCATTCCACTGAAATATATTTTACACCTATTTTTTAAAATCTATTTCCATAAAATGACACAAATAACATAATTTTGAGTAAGAAACAGCAACATTTTTACATTTTTCTAACAAAAGGATGAGTCTCGATTTGGAGAAGAGTCTCGTGGGCTAATTCTTTTCATGAAAAATATAGAAATATCACCCAAATTAAATAATGAATATTCAAAAGAGGACATTTAAATCTACAAGATGTAAAAATATCACAATTGTCCGAAGCAGGGATAAAGGTGTAGTAGACCGATTCAATAGAATACACGTCTCGATTTGGAGAAAAAAGTTCATTGACTGCGCTAATATTTGTTTATGAAAAATCTAGAAATATCACCCACATTAAATTATAACTATTCAAAAGAAGACATTCAAATCTATATTATGTAAAAAAAATCAAATTCATCCGAAGCAGGGATAACTCTCATTTATGCCTGGGTCACATTTGCTCCGATCCATCGGCCGGCGCCCGGCCGATTGAGTGTTTTGCTCAATATTGTATTCAATTGTGAACAAAATACTCAATCGACCAGGCGCCGTGGTTAAAATCGGAGCAAATGTGACCAAGACATTAGAGTGATGAACTTCGTTCTCAAAACCGAGATTAGACCTTTCAAGTTTGGATGGATGCCATTTTTGAATTTACTTATAACATTGTGTGCTACAAAGATTTCTACATTAACTTTCCACCTTAAATTAACATAATATATTCATAAAGACTCATCCAATGACGGATATTTTCAAAGATAGCCACAGAAAGCCTCTTGTGTTTACTAAAATTATCTGTTTTATTCCAGATACAGCGATAAAAATACTGCTAATGTATCACGAAGTCTAGACAATTTGTTGAAGGGCTACGACAAAAGACTGAGACCATTTTACAAACAACGTAAGTAAATTGTTATTTGGTTTATTTAAACAATAGAAAGAATACACAATTGTGCTTCTGATCCCTCCTGTGAATTACATTATACAGGGTGTTTCATATGTATGTACCCCCATAAACTCATACATGTAGTATTGCCATCCTATAATTTTGTCATTATCATTTTGTTCCTTATGGAAAGTGACATAAAATTGAAAAGTTTCAGAATCCAGTGGTGTCCCTGACAAAATATACAACGCAAAATCGTTTACTAGTATGCCATATCAACAGACACTCCAGGTGCAGGCCCGTAGCTAACTTTTGCCAGGGGGTTCTTTTTTCGAAAAGTTCCAGGGGGGGGGGGTCACATTTTGAAAACTTTGCTAAAAGAATGCTCAGGATTATGAACATCTGCATGGCTGATGTCCCATTTATTCCCTTATTTCACAGATTTATCTTAAGTAAGACGCCTGAGATTCCCTGATTCTCAGAGAATGATAAACACCAATATGGATGATTTATCAAGAACAAATGCCTTGGGAATTGTTGAAACAATTTATCAATGTACACGATAGGAACACATCCCTTTTTAACGAAGACGCAAATCTGGATATTTAGGAAGAGGGATTAACAGAAGAGTTCTTTTCGCAAGATCATGTTATTAAAGTCGATTATTTGACATTGGGCGAAAGAGAGGTATTCTCATTTTATAATTCTCACACCCTTACGCAAATTAATACCATACCTACATCAAACCAATAAACAATTGAATTTGAAAGCTCACAAGTTTAATTTTCAGTTTGGATTTTGTCCTTGTTATATTTTTGTTTCTGATATGTATATTTTGACAAATAACTAAGTCAAGTGACTCAAAGATTTCTTGGCTTTAAACACATAGATAATGATATCGATGATATTACTTAAGAGGAACGTGCCACATTCACATCGGATCGACTGAGATAAGCCCTTTTGAGAAATCACCAATTTTCCGGCATGGGATGATGTACTGAATGCACTTGCTTTAATTTGAATACAGTACACATACAATCCTATGCAGACGGAGAAATATTTGGTGCGGTAACAGTGAGCGTTTGGTGCGGAGTCAACGGTCATTTTTGAATTTGGGATATTTTTAATACAAAGCCGTTTTGGATCTTCAAATATATCCATATATGTGTAGTTGACACCTAACACAAATAGATAAAAAAAATTGTTGAACCACTACAATCTGAATATAGGCATTTGCTTTGTTTTGATCTTCAAGAATTAAAATGGCTTCGGTATGAATCAAGTCACTTCAATGGTCTTGTGGATTTGGATTTTGACAATGAGTCCTGAATATGTTGGAAGAGTTATTAGTAATATTGGGCGTTTTTATTGTTATTGATCGTGCTTTTAGATGTTTCGTTTTCTTGGCGTGTTTTGCTTACATTACTTACGTAATAATACTGCCTGTTGTTTAATCGGGTGTTGTATTCGAGCATCAGAGCACTAGTACGCGATGAAATATTCGGAAATAATGATGGCAAAAAACTTAGTGTCGACAGTGCGTGAAATGAAGTGTCATCTACTTTGTGTTCTGCGTCTATCTTCTATTTTATCATTTTAAAGTGATGGCTCCGAAAATAAAACGTCACTCAATATTGTCCAGATCACCAGTTGTCTTACGTAAGATATTTCAAAATGCCATTTTGAACTCAAAGATATACGTTCAAAAGGTTATCCATTAGTCAAAGTCTCAATTCAATCATGTTAACATTGTTTTTAAACATGACGTTTCCTGGAGTGTTCAGGTTGTCGGTAATGTCACCTAGTTTAAATCATAAAGATGATGTATCGTTAAAAATGACTACATAATTGTTAAGGGTTATATTAACTTTTTTTTTGTAATTACAATACTGTGGTGATTTTACGTCTCTTCATATTCAGTTGTTAAATGAACGTCTGTTTTTTCATCGAGAACATTTCTTGAAAGCTAGGTATGCCTCATTCTATATTCTGATTTTCAACGAACATTTGTTAGAAGTTATATTCCGGATATTAAAGCGACATCAAAACATACAAGCGTCACGTTTTTGCCTTGAGATATGAATCCGTGAAAATACAGAGTTTAATTATGATCTCTAGGTTCAATTATAGATTAGCTTCAAATTCAATTATTCTATAGTATCTTAAAACCGTAAGATACTGTGTTTCTGAAATGGCATGATGAACTCAAGTCAAATTGCACAACAAACTTTAGAAATAATGAAAATAAATGGCCTTGTATACACCTTTTAGATTAGCTATTTCCCTCTTAAATTTACAAGGTCTACAACAACTCAGCTTTCACAGGAACATGCTAATAAATTTAAAGAACGTGGCATGCTAATTTCGATAAACAGTGAAATTCGGCGCAAAGGTGATCAGTGAAATGAGATAACGGGATGATAGATATCTCTCTTTATCAAGTGGAGAAACCATTTAGGATACATTCAAGTATAAAGTGTGTAAACTCTCTATCATTCCATTGGATTTAGGGTGATAGGCATAGGACGAAGGCAATTAAGCAGCGAATGAGTAAATCAATTGAGACGGTCAGAATAACCTTTATTGTCTGCCAAAGTTGAGACCACCATTGAACTTTGATGAAATTATATCATGATTTACTATATTATCTTGTTTGTCAACCTAAGTAGATAAAAGTTGGTGATTATGGGCAAATAATCGCATTAGTGTCCTACAAAAATGTTAACATAACATTGAAACATTATTTTTCAATGTATTAATCTTAAAACAAGAGACCATTTAAAAAAATGAAGGCTCGTGTGAAGGAGATGTTTGCAGTGTTGTAATGAATTGTATTGATAAATAGGGATCATGCTTACTTTTAACGCGGTTGTAATTTACCGAACGGCAAAAGTAGAAAAAATCCGAACATTTTGAACTGATAAAGATCTTTAAATTGTGAAGGTCTGAGTACCTGGACCTCTTAGAAAACAACCAAACATATAAAAAAGTGAAGATGGGTCAATTTGATTCTCGTTCTCCGAAGATATTAATAAAATAGTTAAATGTTCGGAGTTGTTTTAATGCTGTAAATTGTTCACAATTCTAAATCAAGAAGTCGCTCGTATTTCTGTCGTATTTAGGAAATCATGTTGCCGAAAATCAGTGCACAGTGTTCATGGTGTTGTTGTAAAATTGCGTATATGTCGTTTGAAACCCTCTCTAACGCAATTTTATTATAAACGAACACATTAGGGTTAAACTTTTGCTCGAGGAATTAACTCATTTTCATCAATAAATATTAACCCATCAGGTACTTTACTAGTAAGCTAACGTTTAAACCTCAGTCCGTTGTCGTTATCACTTACTTCTAAACCCAAGTGAGATATGGCTCTTGCCTCAACACGAGCCAATAAAGATATCGTGTTTATGTTCCAGAAAAGCTTATTTATTTAGTAAAACGTTGTTCTAAAATGGCATTGATTTGCCTTTAATAATAATAGACTATTTATACTATATTATATAATATCAAGAAATAATAATTTAGCATGGTTCTATTTAAAATTTCTTCACCTAGACACGCTCTAGAATCTTATTAATTATTCATGTTATTTATAATGGTTCTAAATGGCCTTTGTTTTCAACAATCCGGACTATATTCTTTCGTGACATGATATGTTTTCCTTTCAGGTGGTAAACCAGCTATGATAGGGATTACAATGTTTGTGTCTGCCATAAGTTCAATATCAGAGATTGACATGGTAAGTGTAATTTAGAAAGCTAACAATGCAAAATGCAACTTTCAAACCAGTCTACTATTAAATCAAACTGAGGGTATAAGCAGGTCTACCTAGAGTCTAGTATAAGATAATAAAGTTATATGTGTCCAAAATCCATACGTTTAGTTATGTGTTCCGATTTGTAAGTTTTATTGACAAATTCTTTTGATAAATCCTCTAAACAAAAAAAAGTCCAACGAGAAGTTATTGCCTAGATTCGTATGCAATATGTGCATTCGTTTTATATCAAGTGACTGTCAAACCGACATATTCATCAAGCACATGTCACATTGTATCTCACTCTGTTTCAGAGCTACACAGTCGATTTCTACTTTCGCCAGTTTTGGACTGATCCTAGATTAGCATTCGAATTGGACGTTGATGAGCTTTGTATAAGTAATGATATGATCGAAAAGATCTGGAGGCCCGATACTTTCTTCGCAAACGCAAAAACATCCTCGTTTCATGATATTACCAACAAAAATGCATTCTTCAGGATAAAGCCAAGCGGGGACATCCTACTGAGTCTTAGGTAAGTCAAATGGGGACAAAGAATTCAACATAAAAGCCTAGCGGGGATACCCTACTGAGTCTTAGGTAAGTCAAGTCAAGTGGGGACAACGTATTCAGCATAAAAGCCTAGCGGGGACATCCTACCGAGTCAAAGGTAAGTCAAATGGGGACAACGTATTCAGCATAAAAGCCTAGCGGGGACATCCTACCGAGTCAAAGGTAAGTCAAATGGGGACAACGTATTCAGCATAAAAGCCTAGCGGGTACATCCTACTGAGTCTTAGGTAAGTCAAATGGGGACAACGTATTCAGAATAAAAGCTTAGCGGGGACATCCTACCGTGTCAAAGGTAAGTCAAATGGGGACAACGTATTCAGAATAAAAGCCTAGCGGGGACATTATACAGAGTCTTAGGCAAGTCAAATGGGGACAACGTATTCAGAATAAAAGCCTAGCGGGGACATTCTACAGAGTCTTAGGCAAGTCAAATGGGGACAACGTATTTAGAATAAAAGCCTAGCGGGGACATCCTACTGAGTCATAGGTAAGTCAAATGGGGACAACGTATTCAGCATAAAAGCTTAGCGGAGATATCCTACTGAGTCTTAGGTAAGCCAAATGGGGACAACGTTTTCAGCATAAAAACCTAGCGGGGACATCCTACTGAGTCTAAAGTAAGTCAAATGGGGACAACGTATTCAGAATAAAAGCCTAGCGGGGACATCCTACTGAGTCATAGGTAAGTCAAATGGGGTCAACGTATTCAGAATAAAAGCCTAGCGGGGACATCCTCCTGAGTCTTAGGTAAGTCAAATGGGGACAACGTATTCAGCATAAAAGCCTAGCGGGGACATCCTACTGAGTCTTAGGTAAGTCAAATTGGGACAACGTATTCAGCATAAAAGCCTAGCGGGTACATCCTACTGAGTCTTAGGTAAGTCAAATGGGGACAACGTATTCAGCATAAAAGCCTAGCGGGGACATCCTACTGAGTCTTAGGTAAGTCAAATGGGGACAACGTATTCAGCATAAAAGCCTAGCGGGTACATCCTACTGAGTCTTAGGTAATTCAAATGGGGACAACGTATTCAGCATCTAGGAAACAAGACGATCCCTAGAGTGTTCTTTGATTGGGCAATAAATATGAGATTATTTTTATATTTAGGGTTTAAGATATATAATGAAGCAATACAGAACTAAAACAGTTTATTTTGAATTACATATATGTGCTTCGAAATACCAGTTACGACTTAACTCTTTTTATTTGCTTAGACTAATTTAAATCTTGAATCTGGTTATGTGTAAATTACAATGATCCAATAAAACACCTAACTAATTAATTGGTACTTTGTTTAAGCATCATTTCTTTTATAGCTGATATGAGTATACTTGTGATCCAACCACTCCTTACAATCAGATTCATAAAATCAGTCAAAGTGACAATAAACCACCAATAACCCTAGTTATGATCTAATACCCTCTTTCCTCATTATTCAAGAATCATTATAACAATCCATGAGCACGTGAGCCATTTCAAACTGAAGTGATTGGAATAGGAAAAGCTCATTTCCAATCCTCTAACTATCGAAAATAGTATACATGCTAGAACTAATACAATAGCACTCAGTCTCAAAGTCTATGGGAGCGCAAAAGGGTCAACATCTATCAGCCATAAATGCCCCCGTCATAGTAGTTTTGATTGTCAGAAATATTGAGTTTATCTAAATGGAACAAGACCTTGGTCAAACAAGGGTAGTCGTCCAAGAAGATCAACATTTACGCAGATCTTTATCATGACATAACCAATCTCTCACCCTGGATATTGTAATATCCTATTTGAAGTTTCTTAGAAAATTCCTTGGTTCATGTAAGGATATTCCTCCCAAAGGTTCTTTTCGATTTTTCCCGTTTTTGATCCTCATACTACTAGCTACCCATCATCGAGAATATAATTGCTATATCCTTCGTGCAAAGTAAATAGAAATACAGGGTGATCACCAATCTTTGGGAATCGGTTTGCAAAAAATGTCCAGAAATGTCATTGTTAAAACAAGGAAGTAATCAGCGATGATTTTATTTATAATACTCGGTAGTTAATCGTCAAAGAACATAACCAAACAGGTTTTTATCAAATATTACAACAGTCTGACAGTAGCCCGGGTAAAGTAAACTGTAATCATTTTCTTCGGAATAGTGAGAGTCATTACCTTTAAACAATTTGAATGAAATTATCGATACATGTACTTGTTGTTTTTGATTTGAAGACATTAGCTATTGTTTTTCCACAATTAAAGGACCTCATGCCTTTTTCTTTTTACGATCATGTAAGTGGACTCCATTCATAACATGCCTAGCTTGTGCATGTCTCTTTGTAAAGCAACTGGCACTTCGATACTTTTTATTCAAAGAGAGCTCATTAGATCTCATTATCATGTTATTTAATATATTTTACATAGCAATCTGTCAATTAATTTTTTAGGTCATATTTACATGAACCATGGAATATACTTGCAATGGGTGGATAATGTTAATTGCCATAATATAACGGTCGCTATGTAACATACCCGCACACTGATGATATTTTTGTGTAGATTGGAAAACAAGAGCAGTACGAGGTTCGATAAAAAACATCACGCTAAGGAAGTCAACATATAGGGCGATGACTAAAGTTCGATAAGCAAAATAGACACTGGGATGTTAACCGAATAATCGTATCCTTCTCTACACATTTCCCGATTTTTCCTTAGCGCTGATCAATTCAAAATAGAGCCCCCTTATGTCATGATGACATTGGAATCAGATCTCCGTAGTCCCTACACGTGCCTGTTTATTGTTTTGAATTCTTTTTATGAGCCCTTGTCTTGATATTGATGATGTTAACAAAGAATTGACTAGTTAGAAAAATGTATAAAAATCGGTAAGTCATTACGCACAGAATTACCCTTAATTGCACGGCATTAACGCGATCAATGACCGAGTTACAATTTATTAAAAGAACAAAACAAGTATGGCAGAAAAATATGGGTTGACTTTTGCGAGTACTTTTTCAGAATCTCAAAATTTCCATTTTTACTTTTACAATACTCACTAATTTGAGAATATTAAATGTATATATACTGTAACCACGTGTTTCTATGAGTTTGGAAAATGTTATTAAACACATGTAGCCCAAAGTGTGTAAAAGGGAGAGCATTTGATCTGTTTTGTATCTAATCAAATACATCCAACTTTAGAAACTGAGAATTATGAAAAATATATATTCTGCATGCACAATGTACAAATCTAAAAGGTCTTATAAGTAACAACGAATGCCTATAATATAGTATTGTTATGTCACCACCAAAAGTGGTGACATATTGTTATGGTCTCCGTTTTTTTGCGACGGCGGTTGGTGGTTGGTGGTTGGAGGTTGGCGTCCGGCGTCCGGCGTCCGGCGTCCGGCGTCTGTAACAATTTCTTACAACTTCCTATAACTTAACAAATACTGTTTAGACTGACTTCAATTTTTTCTAAATCATCTACATGTTCTCAGAAGTTCAAATCTGACTTTAGATTTGACATTTGACCTTCAATGACCTTCTCAAGGTCAAAAAGGTCTTTTTTTCAACTTGCTTCACATTGACTAAATTTTTTTTCAAAATCATCTACATGTTCTCAGAAATTCAAATCTGACTTTAGATTTGACTTTAGATTTGACATTTGACCTTCAAATCTGACTTTAGATTTGACATTTGACCTCCAATGACCTTCTCAAGGTCAAAATGGTCAAAAAGGTCTGTTTTCAACTTGCTTCAAATTGACTAATACTGTTTAGACTGACTTCAATTTTTTTCTAAATCATCTACATGTTCTCAGAAGTTCAAATCTGACTTTAGATTTGACATTTGACCTTCAATGACCTTCTCAAGGTCAAAAAGGTCTTTTTTCAACTTGCTTCACATTGACTAAATTTTTTTTCAAAATCATCTACATGTTCTCAGAAATTCAAATCTGACTTTAGATTTGACTTTAGATTTGACATTTGACCTTCAAATCTGACTTAAGATTTGACATTTGACCTTCAATGACCTTTTCAAGGTCAAAAAAGGTCAAAAAGGTCTGTTTTCAACTTGGTTCAAATTGACTAAATTTTTTTTTCAAAATCATCTACGTGTTCTCAGAAATTCAAATCTGACTTGATTTGACTTAAGATTTGACATTTGACCTTCAATGACCTTCTCAAGGTCAAAAAAGGTCAAAAAGGTCTGTTTTCAACTTGCTTCAAATTGACTAAAAAAAATTTTCAAAATCATCTACGTGTTCTCAGAAATTCAAATCTGACTTAAGATTTGACTTAAGATTTGACATTGGACCTTCAATGACCTTCTCAAAGTCAATAAAGGTCAAAAAGGTCTTTTTTCAACTTGCTTCAAATTGACTAAACTTTTTTTTCAAAATCATCTACATGTTCTCAGAAATTCAAATATGACTTTAGATTTGACATTTGACCTTCAATGACCTTCTCAATGTCAAAAAAGGTCAAAAAGGTCTGTTTTCAACTTGGTTCAAATTGACTAATTTTTTTTTCAAAATCATCTACGTGTTCTCAGAAATTCAAATCTGACTTAAGATTTGACTTACGATTTGACATTTGACCTTCAATGACCTTCTCAAGGTCAAAAAAGGTCAAAAAGGTCTGTTTTCAACTTGCTTCAAATTGACTAAAAAAAATTTTCAAAATCATCTACGTGTTCTCAGAAATTCAAATCTGACTTTAGATTTGACTTAAGATTTGACATTTGACCTTCAATGACCTTCTCAAAGTCAAAAAAGGTCAAAAAGGTCTTTTTTCATTTTGCTTCAAATTGACTAAATTTTTTTTCAAAATTATCTACATGTTCTCAGAAATTCAAATATGACTTTAGATTTGACTTTAGATTTGACATTTGACCTTCAATGACCTTCTCAAGGTCAAAAAAGGTCAAAAAGGTCTTTTTTCAACTTGCTTCAAATTGACTAATTTTTTTTCAAAATCATCTACATGTTCTCAGAAATTCAAATCTGACTTTAGATTTGACATTTGACCTTTGACCTTTAATGACCTTCTCAAGGTCAAAAAAGGTCAAAAAGGTCTGTTTTCAACTTGCTTCAAATTGACCAATTTTTTTTTCAAAATCATCTACATCTTTTCAGAAGTTCAAATTTGACTTTACAAGTTCTCAGAAGTTCAAATCTGACTTTAGATTTGACCTTTGACCTTCAATGACCTTCTCAAGGTCAAAAAGGTCTTTTTTCAACTTGCTTCAAATTGACTAAAAAAAAATTTCTAAATCATCTACGTGTTCTCAGAAATTCAAATCTGACTTTAGATTTGACTTAAGATTTGACATTTGACCTTCAATGACCTAACTAGGTGGTGACATTTTGTCATGTTAATGCCTTGTATTGTATTATGTCTGTCCCACATCAAATTTGAATGCTCCATATGATATGATTAATAATTGTCCCACATCAATTTTGACTGAATGCTCCATATGATATGAAAAATAGTATCACAACTGCCTAATGGTTTGGAGGGGTTCGGTTCGTTCATTCTTTTATGATTCTGAACAATTTTTATGTGATTTTGGCCAAATTTGTCTACCCCCTGTTTTTTTAAAAAAGTGAACCCCATTGGTAAATGCTGACTACAGGCTTGCTCACGGTGTCAAGAGTATCGTAATTTTTTAAGAAACCTTGTTATATCATAATTTCAGATGTTGGGGTTTGTTTTTGAATCACTGGTTTGATGTGATATTGCATGTTTCTTTTCCTATTGTGTTTTTAATCTCTTCAGTGTTGTCCCTTTTGGCATTCTTGATTGCATCTTAACATTGTAATAGCCTTTATTTTTGCAAACTTGTTTGGGGAGAAATTGCAGACGCTAGTACATTGTAAAACACAATATGCTGCAAGTGTTTCTTTCACAAATGCTATCTGGAGAGACAAAATTGCATTTATTAAAACCCTTTTCTATTATTCACGGTAACATCATCGTGTATCAATATCTTAAGGTTAAAGTACATCTCAATAATGTCAAATCACACGATATATTCTAAGCCATTATTAACCCAATTAGATCAAAGACCGTTATCTATGCAAGGTAAAAATGTTTAGGAAATGCCTGTAGCAATTTAATTGCATTTACAAGTATGTACAAACATGAACTAACGAAACTAGAAAAACAATTATTATTGTTCTATCGCGATCAATCTTAAAATGACGGTCTGATTGGATTGTCGATATATAAGTAGTCGTGAATAATACGACTCGTTGGTTTTTATTGGTATATTATTGTAAGTTTCGGGCTAAACAATAGTTTCCCCAATTTTGATTTCATGTTGTTCAATATATATTTATTCATGAAGTGAATGAGTACGTCGGATCCCAATCAGGTAAAGTATGAATTGGATCAGGGTGGGTGACCTTCAGATGTCAGAAAAAACATATTATTAAAAATACCGAAACTCAGGAATGATATTTCATTCTTCCGTTGTCCCTCTTCAAGTGTAATATTCTGGTAGATACAATTGACTTGTAAAAGCGATCAATGTTTTGAAACCAAGTACTTTATTTGCCAAACATACAGGTATTCTGGCATAATACCATGATACATGTTAGGGAAACAAAAGTCGTTTGCGTGAACTTTATGAATGGGTATTTTCCAATCGCGAGGAGAAGTAATAGCTGCCATCCAAATCAGATTCGGTGCTATATTTCCCAGTTGTACCCCTGCCATCACACGTCGATAACGATCGGAAATTACCACGGGCCACTTTGGGCCACTTGGGCCACTCAAGGCCTTGTCAGTTGGACCACCTGCGCCTATATTGCAATTTCACATCCACTATTATAACTGATTATTGTTTCCTGGGGGTAGTGCGTAGTGGGAGTGTGTACAACAAATAAAAGTCTGAATTGTTTACCTCTGTTTTGTATAGTTGTACTAAACAGATCAACAATATTTTTTTATATATCTAAAAACACGCAAGAGTTATTTTTTTCTTGTTCTTTAAATTGTTATGACTTCAGTTCGAATGAAATGACGCATCGTCTAGCGGCTTTGGATTTTGTGACCGTCGTTTTGAACGTTGAAATCAAAATGGTTGTTGGACACTATAATTCTTTTTATACTTTAGACCATTTTCGGATTTGTTTCCATATGACTCGTGGTTGTTACCTTTCTATTTATGGTCATATTATGTTTTTAATATGTTTTGATCTGCACCCTCATGTCACAGATTTTGCTCTTGTGTCACATATTCTGCCCTCAAGTCACAGATAATGCCCTCATGTCACAGATTCTGTTACATATTCTGCCCTCATGTCAAAGTTTCTGGCCTCGTGTTACATATTCTGCCCTCATGTCAAAGTTTCTGCCCTTGAGTTACATATTCTGCCCTCATGTCACAGATTTTGCCCTTGTGTCACATATTCTGCTCTCATGCATATGTCACATACTCAAAATTTACAAAGTCATGTGACTTGCAACATATTCCGTACGTTTTGTTCCCTCACCTTTAGCTTTTCTTCGAAATCTATTTTTCAATTAAACGAACACTATCGGACCATGAAATCTTATAATAAATATTGGTATTATTACACTGAAGAAAAGAAAGGCTTGTTAAATTGATTTTTTTCAATTTCCTTAGAGCTATTCCTAACTCACAAATTGGCTTCTTTCGTCCCATCAGAATCACCAAATATATCTATATCTTTTCACACTTTTTATTATAAAAAACTGTCATTTTCTCTCCATATTTCATAATTCTGAAACACGTCAAAGTGTCAATCTAAATCAGTTTAATTTAAATTTATATTCTGTGAGCGGTAGTATCTAAAGCTGAGTTTTTTGCTGGGGACGCTAATCATCTCTAGCTCAACTAATATGATTTTCGGAATACATTAGAAAGCAACATATGGTAATTTCTGCCTTTAGGGGCAGCTAACAAGATTTCGACAGAAGAAATCTCACACTTATAACGAACCATTAGATATAGGGTAAACGTTTTCAAAAAATAAACATCGTTTTCAAGATCAGCCAAAGTAAACATTGGACTCGTGATAAACTTTGTCTTTTTATGATATTCTTTGTCTTTTTATGATATTCTTTGTCTTTTTATGATATTCTTTGTCTTTTTATGATATTCTTTGTCTTTTTATGATATTCTTTGTCTTTTTATTTAGCTTAGAATACTGTCCAAAAACATCAGTGTAAACAGACAATAATTTTAAACAAAATGGCGCTGTTCATCAACGACACGTACTAGTGGTTCCATGTTAAAATTCTATTCAAGGGAATGAAAAGCTAGATTGACTTATTTCCGTACAGCATGTTGTTGTTTTCCCCAAAATACACGCAATAAATTATCAACGACACTTGATTCCCTCAAACGTCAAACCACAAAACAATAGAGGATAGATAATCGAATTAGGTCGTGTATTCTCCTCAATTGAAATACTACCTAGACTTATTGTCAATGGTAATGTAATCTTCTGGAGTGTCTTAAATTCCAAGTTCTCAAAACTGAACAGCTACTTCTCCTGAAACTTTAATCATTATTACCACATATTACAATTTAGACATGGAAACAGTGTGTAAGCTACAAGGTACAGGTTGAGCCAGAAAAAGTTAACTAAAAATCTCATTCATCAAGTATGGGATTTCAGTCATACGGGTGACACAAAAAATTCCACCCACTTATTTTGGAATAACTTTCTCAATAAGTTAGGAATCGCTGTGGTTCTTCTTGTGTAGATGGAATGTTGAATGGAAAAAATATTGTTGAACTTTGATAGCATCAACAACTTTGAAATTTAGAGTAATCACGTTTTTCGTCCAGGGATGCGCTTGGTAAAATCGTCAAAAAATGTTTTCTGGAATCTGGGATTTCTTTTTACCCTTTTCTGGATTGCTTTCACTAGCTTACACATATATATATTTGTCAATTTTTCCTAAATAGTTTTGGCACATTTTTCACTCACTGTAAATTTCAAAAAATAGTACAGATTTTCTTCCAGATACGTAGTATCATTGGCCTATTCCCAATGGTCACGATTAAACTAGAATCACACAATATGAACCTCCAGAATTTCATCTTTGGGGCTATTTCAAAGAAAATGTATGTATTAAGAACTCTAGAACCATCGGAATGTTGAAAAAACAAGAGATTAGAAGGAAAATGAGAGCCATTACACAATACATTTGTGAGCATGACGTCAAAAGTCCACCCGTTGCGTTAAAATTTGCCTCGAAAGACAAGATTGGCATTTTGAGCATGTTCTGTAAAACGGCCATAAAATCACGACATTTTGGAATAGACCAATGGAAAATTGGAAAGGGTTCAATTGTGCCAAATATGACTTAAAACCCATATTGAATGACTGACTTATTAAGATTTGTTTGGATTACATTTTTTGACTCACCCTGTATATGATGGGGAAAATAATGCTTTATGTCTTTGAAGAATCTAATATAAATGCCTACATCAGAATTGATTGAGAGGAGTGGACTGTGGAAGTATCAAATACGATGTGTACGATGCCTACATGTATGAAATAAAATGATAAAGCAGGTTAAGCTACATGTTTTCAAAAGAATATATATAATGTTATCATTATGACATCCATTGATTACTGTCACAATTGTACTTTCCATGGACATTACTACATATTTCGTATATCTTATACCTTTTAGATTTGTACTCAAATACATCGTATGAAGGGGAGAACTTGTCCCTCGTAAACCACGCCTATGTTCAAGTTCTCCTAAACGTGTATCTCTGAACCGAACTATGCTATTGCCCAAACGACACAAGGTGTTCTAGTATAGGGTATATCATAACCTCACTATTATATTTTATTGGACACGACAAATGGCAGTTTAAGAAATATGCCTCGCTTGTAATAGCACATCTGCTTGTATTTGGTTGTCGTATGGAAATGTTATTGATGTTCAGTGTACATTTTTCTTCAGATTAACAGTAGTAGCAGCCTGTAACATGGACCTGAGATTCTTCCCAATGGATACACAGCTATGCACCCTGGAGATCGAGAGTTGTAAGTAGTATAGTACGTACTTTTGAATACAACGCCCATTACGTACCTCAGAATCACTGTATAGTGTCTGTGGGTTGTTCCCTGAACCTCGAACGGGTAGATTAGTAGTTTGTAGTGTATGATCATGAATCTTGTAATTTAAATGTAATTTCGTTCCATGGACACGAGATAAGGTCTTTGATTACTCATTATCATTTTGCCTCAGTATCATTACCAAGCAAATACCAACAAGCCCCTTTTTGTCAGAAAATCCATCTTTCCACTTGTTCAATTTCCTTTTGATGTATAGAGTGAACTCATAATGCTAACTTTTCATAGCAATTTGTCACTCATATAAATATTGTTACATCGTGTGATTGTATTAAATTATGAAATAAAATTGTACATAGCGTATAGTAGCATTGGTTTGCGTGTTTTGACAGGCGATTCATAGCGATTAATGCATCATCGTCAACACGGCCACTTTGGTCTTTTTGTGAAGGCGACTATGGTCATAAGAAACCAAGTGAATAAAAACGATTCCTAAAGGTTAAAATTGTTATTACCCCTACTCCTTTAAGTCAGTATCCTGATCTTTGTCTGATATTGAAATGTATGTGTCCGCCAACCAAACAGTGTGATGGTGTAAGAGCATGCCTAGATTTGATTACAACGTCTTTGCCATCCCTCCTTTGTTAATCGATGGGTATCGTGACATTGTTAATTTAATAAAAAAAGTAAGTTATTGAAATTAATCGGAAGTTGAAATTCTCCAAGGCATAATTGTATTTTTCTCAACCTTGACTTATAAAACGTACGATTAAATAGTATAAGTTGATTGATATTTATACGTTAGTTCAGGTTATGGATATTTGGGATTTACTTATTGCACGAGTAGTCTTTTGTCCTTTTTATGTCTTTTTTTAATACTTTTTGTCTATTAAAATGGTACATGTGATGACATATTTGAAAAGGCAATTATATGTATCCAGCTTTTGCAAAGAGGAGGGGGATTACTTACTGATTCTAACTTACACCGTACTCTGAAACATTAACTTTTGATATTCCAAAAGACCATACATCTCGAAGATGCAAAAATTGCGTCCACCAAAGTCCACTTACTCATTATAAACCAAAACGTTTTCGGCTAATTTAGGATCAAAATTGCAGACACTGTCCGTTTAATAGAATTAGCAAAATCGATTTTTGCCATGTACTCTAATCTCATCACGGTCAGTGTAACACAGTCTAATAAAAAAGGCTCAACAGGCGACAATTATAGGCATGAATTAAGGGCCAATCAGAAAATATTGGCCCATTTTCTATCTAAAATCTAGTTTGACAGTAAACCTCATTCTTAATGGTGCAATTTCATTGTGGCTTATTTCAGTTAAATCAGCGTCTTACTGCTGTTGATAACAAGTAATTGTGCGAGATCCGCTTATAGATTTCTTCAATGTTGGTGTCAGTTACATGTTCAGTCAATCAGTTACTCAACTTTTGAATGACATTATCTGTCTTCTAAATCCCCATTTAATAAAATAAGTCAGATAATTGTGGCCTCGTAAATCCACTTAACTCAAATTTGTTCCAAATCAACCCATTTGGAGACATTTTAAGATCTCTAGCTGCAATTACTAAGTTAGAGTTAGCATCGTTTCCCCAAAGGACTGCCAATAGATGGCCTGAAATATAATGTGTTTGATAGTACGCTTTTGTTAGCTAGATCGCATTAATGATACGACAAAATCATTTCATATTAGATCTTCTTTTATAAAAGAACAGATAAGTATGAAATCAATGCAGTGTATTCTAGCCTATTCTAAGTTTTATTGGAGCAATATCTTCACATTAGCAAAATTGCAATAGGAAGTTAAACATCCCAATCGTGACTTGTCGGGAAACACAAATCCCACTGGGTTCTTACACCCGCTGCAAGCCAAGTTCATGGCTGTGTGTTGTCTTTTAATTGCAGAAATGACAATGAATTTGACATAATGAAGTATATGTTAAGTATTACAAACACCCCCGTCCGGCCCAAATATTAAATTATTTGTGCAATAAACAGTTTTTTATTAGTTGACACTAACTTTTAGTATTAGTATTATTAGTAATTCACTATAATTTATAATACTGTCTAAACGGATAGTATTCCATATGCCGATACCGCCTGGCAGTGATTTTATACTGAAAATTCGTTTTTGATAAACAGGATGGGCAAACAAAAAATGCAAAATCTGTTTCAGTGAATTGTGACATTTTAATCTAAAGATTAAATATATGTGACATATGAATACACTGCCAATCTCAAACAGTACAATACAGCGCTATTTATGAAACAGTACTGGACAGCGCTATAAAAGCAGCACGGTGCATCGCTTTCTTTTAAAACTGTACAATACAGCGCTGTTCAAAACAGTCCTGTTAGAATAACGCAGTACATCGCTGTGCAGCGCATTGGTCGGACTGCACTGTTCGGTACTGTTGTACACAGTGTTGTCCAGTGCTGCAAGATGCTGGTTCAGATTGAGGAGTACATCATATAAAAACCCATTTAATTTTCCATTATTTGTTATGTTATGCACTGTTCATCTATGTGATCTTAATTTTTTTGAAAATGCAGTGTCCGAAAGGCCACCCTATATGATGTAAAATGATAATGCAATGTGTCACACTAAAATAAAATGGAATTTCTTCTGGTAGTTATCAAGCTTATTGATACATGTACAGATGTATGAATAGGCATTATTTCTGTTGTTTATACCAATTTGTTGTATATCAATATTATATAGTTATTTAAATAATGGAAGTGAATGAGCTCTGTAATCTCTATGTGTTTCAAGTCAGTGAGAATCTTTCACAGAACAATTACACGGTGTCCAACCCAAACGCTCTTACATGCACGACGGAGCGTTTCATTCACGCGAAAATGCTGCGGAGCAAAATAAAATGGCGGCTAATGAAGATTCCACTATGACCGTAAGTATTGTTTAACTCGTTTCTCTTACATAACATACACTATGATGAAATATTATTATGTACCATTCGATGGACAATACACTGAGCAAAGATCTTATTTATTCAACTTCTGGTGGTTAACGGTTATTTGCTTGATCAAAGCCACTCCGTAGTGTAGATAGAACGAATCTGAAGTGGACGAACTGACCACAAATTACGAATTAAAGTAGTATTTATATAAAAACGTCAATCTTTCTATCAAAGTATTAGATCACAAACTCGTATATTCTCCAGACAAAATCCATTGTTTGTTCTCGAGAAATCGCTTGTTTTCCTCGAAACGCGCGCTCCGTCGATTTAGAACACAATTTTAGAAACACTCTTACCATTTTATTTTGATATTGTTTTCAGATTATTAGAGAAGAGCTCGGATTCGAATCTATCTCTCAAAAACGTGTTGTACTTGTTAGGCAAATTGAAACATCCCAACCTGGTGGTGCTAAACGTGCAACAAACCGACTTAAGCCAACATTAGATGATTTTATGCCTACATGTGTGCTAAAACTATGACAAAAAAGAAAAAATGATATGTGAATTAATCTTTCTTCTTTTGATTCCAAGGGGTACAATAGATATTTTCTTTCTCTTCCTGAAAAGGAAAGTCATGCTATATATTTCCTAAACAGATCTAGACTACCACAGCGTTTCCAGATCACTGTGTTAACAAGATCGCAGCATTTCTTGACTATGAGAATGTCATCATTTTTAAAACTGGATTTTCGGTCATCAAATCACAATTACGATAATGTTTGGTGTGTTGAAGCATTGACATTTGACCAAAATATACGTTTGTGCTCTAATCTTGGCTGCTTCTAAACTATAAGTTGCTTCGTACAGCTCTTCCTAATTGCTTCAAATGTCAACAGCCAGCCAAGTACAACATGAATATCACACCCATAGAATGGTATACTTTAAAAAATACCGCTTATTCCCATTATTGGGGAAATGGTCAGGCGGCTCATAATTCCCGCCCACAAGTTTTCCTACTCCGAGGCGTTTCTTTTTGTTTAGTTTCAGTAATGAAACGCTCCGTCGCACACGTAAGAGCGGTTGGGTTGGACACCGTGAATTACGAAGATCCATTATGGTAGCAATAAAGAAATATATATGCAGTAAACAAACAACTGGCCGATCAAATTGGAAAAGCTTGAAATGTACAGGATAAAGGTAAAAAGGTTTGGGTTTCGACATCCCCAAATTTAATCACGATTGGTGCAACTTTGGGAAAGTTACAGTTTCTTTCACCTTAATTCATTTGACATGCTGTATATATTCTTTCTTTCAGTTGGCTACAAGACAGTTGATATAATGTATGAATGGTTAGATGGACCGATAAATTCTATGGGAATGTCAAAGGCTATGGCGCTACCCCAGTTTACCATATACGGCTACAGGCTTGTGGAAAGACTTGAAGTGCTGTCTACAGGTACGTGGTAATCGAGAGGATATATACTGGCTCAACTACAAATGAAGTTCTAGTAAGATAAATACAGATGTTAACAATACCGAGATGGTTGATGTTTCCGAAAATAATTCATAGGCATATTATAAGACAATTGCAACACTGTAAAACGATCCTTTCAAATATTTATACAACGTCCCATATGCTTACAAATTGTAATTCGTTTACAGATAAATCAAATGATAACACACTTGGTAATAATGACAAGTGTTTCATCTTTAATATCTATCTATTCATTTATTCTCTATCATGATTTCAAAAGAATGTTACGATAACAGCAGTTTCCGTAAAATTCAAAACTGAATTACTGACTCGCTTTAGTTAATTAGCCAGCTACCAGGTAACATCGGGGCTTCTGATCACGTGCCAATCATGTTTCATTTATAATTGTCATGTTTGTATGGAGTTAAAATAGTTTGACCTAAAAGTTGTTGTTTTCTAATTCTTTTCTAATTTTTTCATTTTATTTTCTGTGAACTTATTTTTACAAAATGATTGCATGAAAAAGTTTTACTCATTTTTACTGAGCACATGCTCTTCGAACTGTATTGTTGCAGATCAAACAGACAAGTGGTTATTTGGCACCAAATTCAAGACTAATGAAAATCGTATCCGACCGATACTACGCGTATTTTAAGACGTCATATGAGTCGGATACGATTTTAGATCTGATTTTAGTGGCGCATACTAAAATTATGTTGTGTATTTTTTAGTATCCATCGGATAAAAAAATGTAGATCCTTGCCAGTGTATGAGTACAAGTTATTCTCATCCTTTTTGCTTGGTTTTCGTTCTCCCGGATATTGAAAACTCTTAGGTCAACATCTCCAATTGTCTAGCTCGTCTCGGGTCCCTATATAATAATCAGCATCCCCAAAGGTCTCCAAAGCCTGAGAAATGAAGTAAATCGAAACACGTTTTTGATCACCCAAATGTCCATTAACTTGGTTAAGTATCTTCTCTGAAAAGTCAACGTGGCCCATATGCCACATTTCACAAATATGTCACAGGGAAATCTAATTCACAGATTCAATTTAGAAGCGACTGATGCGTCCATGAATTGCAGTTGTAGCTCTTCAAAATCGCACACAACTCAAGACAGCAAATCACAATTAATTTAAATTGATGGAATTTTATAGAAATTGAAACCCTTATACACTAAATCATGATCAGGTGAAGAGAAATGAATCTTGAAAAGCAATGCCCCAAACCATGATTTTAAGGAAATAGACTAGAAACTCGATCTAAAGATACATGTCTGTAGCAAAGACAACCCCAATGATGAATCTATAAATTAAAGGTTTTTCAAAGTTTGTCTCCATCGCTATATGGACTCAGTTGTCAGTGTACCAATGCATTATCTCATCATGGGAAATCATGGTCTTCTATTATATTCCTTTCTATTTATCATGGATGTCAATTTTCAAATACATGTAGCTTCCCGCGGCCGAATGTCTTTAATGATTCATAAGTTTTCCAATTTACGTTAGAATTTCTACAGAATCGAAAGGGCGAAATCAAATGTACGCCATGAACATTAATTTTATTATGGGTTTAAATGGAATCATCGAGTTTGATGAAATGGTGATGGGAACTAGTCAAACTTCTTAAATATCAACCTAGTGAAAGAATTATGAACCTAGAGCTAAAAGCTCAAGTCTTTCTTAAAATTTACCCAATAAGCGAGTCTGTTCATCAAATTCGACAGAATTATTTGTAATGGGTAGATATGACATATTACTGATACTACGTATATATGTAAGCCAATGAAAGCAATCCAGATATGCCTCAAAAAATGGGTAAGGCAGAAATCTCTATTTCAGAAAATTGTATTTTTGAACCTCTTTTGACAATTTTACCCAGAGTATGCCTGGACGGAAAACGTGATATCTCAAAGTTGATACTATCCAAGTACAACATTTTATTCATTGAACAATATCTACACCAAGAATCACAAAAATTCCTTAATTATTGGAAAGTTATACCGAACTTAATGGGTCGCATTTTTTGTGTCACCCTGTGTTTGTTTTGTTTAATCTTCTTGATACGCTTTCTGATTTTGTTTGCAGGGAACTATTCAAGACTCGCATTAGAGATGCTCTTTGTTCGTAGCATGGGTTACTATCTAATACAGATATATGTTCCATCAACTCTCATTGTCGTGCTATCCTGGGTTTCCTTCTGGCTCTCGCGAGAAGCTGTCCCAGCGAGAGTAGCACTTGGAATCACAACAGTTCTCACCATGACAACCTTGATTTCCAGTACAAATGCGGCGCTTCCAAAAATAAGCTACTTAAAAAGCATCGATGTTTATCTTGTGACATGTTTTTTGATGGTGTTTACATCGTTGTTGGAATACGCTGCTGTGAGCTATATCGGTAAACAATGTCAAAGGAAAGCGAAGATGGAGCTCAAGGATATGTTTGAACTTGGTATGCCTCTTATTGGAAACGGATTGGCTTATCCAGCCACGAGGGAGCAAAATTTAAATGATAACGTAAGAGTCTTAGTAAGTTGTCTATCTTTCTCCTCTATCTTCTTGTCATACTTATTCTACGTTTCAGATCAGCATTATTTGCCCAAATCATTGCTTGAAATTATTTTTTTGCGTTGCATTATGATTTCTGAGGTTCGGATTTGTTTTCCTCCTGGCTTGTTTTGACTTTTGATTTGTCCTTCACCTTGCAGAGTATTGTCCTGCCCTTTGATCCTGTACCTTTTTGTACTTGTGGTTTAATATTTCGCTGGGTATATTTAAAAACATGGTATTTAAAATATATTGAAATAAATAAAACTCTAAAATAAAGGGAAAAGAACTTACCTTTAGGAAGTAGTTCCAGTTTTCGAAACAAATTTTTCTCTCTTATATTTAGGCCACTCTTTAATTCGTCTGTCTGGACAATGTCCTTATATTTTCAAACATATGAAGAATATCGAGTGAATTCTCTCCACTCAAATCTTTGTTGATGTGGCACTGGAGTGAGAACCATCTATCAGCGCTGAAGACTCATACAATCACACCGCCCCATTTAGCCCATACCCGCGACCATCATTACAATAAAAGTGTTTCCACAATCTTTGCATTTATTCCCAATCAGAAATAAATCACAAAAATTGGGTCTCAAGATTTCGGGTTTTATTAGCTGTTTTACATTATTTCCAGCAATGGTTCAATGCAGAACGTAAGGGAAAAGACAAAGATTCTTACACAAAACGACGTACAGACTCAACAGACAGTAGTTCTAGTACAGATAAAGACGAAACAGATCAACAATGTGGTGGAACAGGCAGGAAAAATAAACCAAGTGACATTGATAAATTTGCACGTGTGTTTTTCCCATCGATGTTCGTTGTTTTTAGCGTCATATACTGGGTGACATACCTAAATATCAGCCATTCAGGTATTGACAATTCATTCACACGCTTACAACCACCAACTTGATACAGAACTGTGATAATGTTCAGTGATTTTGATATGAGGATATACGTCACTAGGTTACGCATGCGCAATGCAAACATGAAACGTACGTCACATCAGGCCACTTGGAGCAATGAATCTGGATGATTGGTTAAGAAATCCGAGTTATGTTTAAGATTCAACCTTCCATTGTGATTCCCAAAAGATATGTTTGCATGGCTAAAAACCGGGCTAAAAACGCACGTGTTTGAGTAAAAAAGTTGATGGCAATACAAGTTGTGGTTTATGAAGTATTTGAAGCAATACACTTTTACTTGCAAGGTAGAATCTATATGTATATAATAATGCTCATTTGAGACAATCAATGTTGTAACTTAGTCAATGTAATTATGACAGCAACAAAGCACAATTTATATTACATATCTCTCCATTTTCCATTTATTTTTGCTGTTGATGAAACGTCAACTTAACTTTTCGTGTATTAGGAGTAACAAGAAACGTCTAAAGTCCTTTCGTTATGGTCCTGTTGCAGAGCATCTGTTTTTGATATATACGTTGAGACAATAATATATAAAGTCCTTAATTTCTTGAATTTACCAAATTTTTTTTGAGTTATATTTAGTTAAGTTTTTTTTATTTTCTTATTTTGCACCAGATGATGTTATGTTATCATTCTCAATGTGGCGAGTAGTGCCAAAATGGGAAAGACAAATACAGAAAACACTTAGCAGGAACCACAACACAACTTAAGAATAAATGCTTCATAGCAACATAGATGCCATCTTTTTTATGTTTTCAAAGTAAAGTTGAATTCATGCCAAGGGCTATTTTAATGATACAACTCTAACACCCCAGTCACATTTGTCGCACGGAGGCCGTGCGTCGACCGCAGATCAATTAAATCAGTGTATTTCTGCGGCGAGCGTAGGAAAACTACGCTCGCCTTGCGGCCTCCGTGTGGCGTATCCAGTTTTTTAGAGGCCGCAGGGTCGCCGTAGAAATTATAACTCGGAGTTATAATATTTGTTCATTTCTGAGGTCCCCGTAGAAATCAACTGGCTCAACAAGATTGAATCATTATTTGTCAATGTTTCACGATCACTTTTCATTTGATATGACATTTATAAATTGTCCTGATGTAAATAAAATGAAAAAACTATTACTTATCAATATAAATTTAAAATTCACCGTGCGGCTGCCGAGGGAAATGTGACTGCAAAAGTATGAGAGCGCAGAAATTCTGCGGCGAGCGTAGAAAAGCCACTGGCCGCAGAAATGATAGACCGCAAGGTAGAGGTGTCAAGTATTAACCGGTTAACCGGTTAACCGCCGATAATGCCTTGACCGGTCTGAGTTTTTATGGGCGGTTAGTTGACCGTGTATAATTCTGTTATTTCCCGCGCTTATTTTGCATGCTAATCCGTTTGGTTTTATGGTGTCAGTTTCACGTAAGCTACTCATACATGTCATAAGTCCCATAACTCCTTACAAACATCCAATCAGCAACTTTAATCCCTGCCACATTGCTTTCCCGCGCTTACTTTGCATTTTAATCTGTTTGTTTTTCAAGCGTCAGTTTCATGTGAGCTACTCATACATGTGATAGGTCCGAAAATTCCTTACAAACATCCAATCAGCAACTTTAATCCCTGCCACATTGCTTTCCCGCGCTTACTTAGATAGAATAGCGTAAAGCTTGACGAACGTAAAAAATAAACGCCGATATATCATTTTTCCATTTTTTCAACTTTCAAGATCGAAGATAAAGATTTCATTTGAAATTATAAGTTCAAATTTCCCGCCGGTTAACCGACTTTAACCGGTAAAAACCCCCGGTTAACCGGTTAATGCTCAAGCGGTTAATTGACACCACTACCGCAAGGTCGCCGTAGGAAATGTGACTGGGGTGTAACACCCCAGTCACATTTGTCGCACGGCGGCCGCAAATCGACCGCAGAACAATTAAATCGGTGAATTTCTGCGGCGAGCGTAGAAAAACTACGCTCGCCTTGCGGCCTCCGTACGGCGTATGCAGATTTTTACAGGCCGCAGGGAAGGCGTAGAAACTATAACTCGGAGTTATAATATTTGTTCATTTCTGAGGTCCCCGTAGAAATCAACTTGCTCAACAAGATTGAATCATTATTTGTCAATGTTTCACGATCACTTTTTATTTGATATTACATCCTAGCACTATGAATAACATTTATAAATTGTCCTGATGTAAATAAAATGAAAAAAACTATTATTTATCAATAGAAATTTAAAATTCACCGTGCGGCTGCCGTGGGAAATGTGACTGCAAAAGTATGAGAGCGCAGAAATTCTGCGGCGAGCGTAGAAAAGCTACTGGCTGCAGAAATGATAGACCGCAAGGTCGCCGTAGGAAATGTGACTGGGGTGTAACACCCCAGTCACATTTGTCGCACGGCGGCCGCAAATCGACCGCAGAACAATTAAATCGGTGAATTTCTGCGGCGAGCGTAGAAAAACTACGCTCGCCTTGCGGCCTCCGTACGGCGTATGCAGATTTTTACAGGCCGCAGGGAAGGCGTAGAAACTATAACTCGGAGTTATAATATTTGTTCATTTCTGAGGTCCCCGTAGAAATCAACTGGCTCAACAAGATTGAATCATTATTTGTCAATGTTTCACGATCACTTTTTATTTGATATTACATCCTAGCACTATGAATAACATTTATAAATTGTCCTGATGTAAATAAAATAAAAAAAACTATTATTTATCAATAGAAATTTAAAATTCACCGTGCGGCTGCCGTGGGAAATGTGACTGCAAAAGTATGAGAGCGCAGAAATTCTGCGGCGAGCGTAGAAAAGCTACTGGCTGCAGAAATGATAGACCGCAAGGTCGCCGTAGGAAATGTGACTGGGGTGTAACACCCCAGTCACATTTGTCGCACGGCGGCCGCAAATCGACCGCAGAACAATTAAATCGGTGAATTTCTGCGGCGAGCGTAGAAAAACTACGCTCGCCTTGCGGCCTCCGTACGGCGTATGCAGATTTTTACAGGCCGCAGGGAAGGCGTAGAAACTATAACTCGGAGTTATAATATTTGTTCATTTCTGAGGTCCCCGTAGAAATCAACTGGCTCAACAAGATTGAATCATTATTTGTCAATGTTTCACGATCACTTTTTATTTGATATTACATCCTAGCACTATGAATAACATTTATAAATTGTCCTGATGTAAATAAAATAAAAAAAACTATTATTTATCAATAGAAATTTAAAATTCACCGTGCGGCTGCCGTGGGAAATGTGACTGCAAAAGTATGAGAGCGCAGAAATTCTGCGGCGAGCGTAGAAAAGCTACTGGCTGCAGAAATGATAGACCGCAAGGTCGCCGTAGGAAATGTGACTGGGGTGTTAGGCAAAGGTTATACATGTAAAAAGCTTTAGAAATACAATTTAAGTTTCGCTTAGAAATTCAAGTAATTAATTTTGGAGTTTCAAGTTTTGCCACTTGATGCTTTGGGATGTCAGAATTATTTAAGATTAGCACCAAACTCAGGATTTTGTCACTTAGCACCTTTTTGGGTTATGGTTATGGGATTAATGATGGAGAAAGAAGGGTCGAAACCAGCCATAGTTTCTCCTGATGACCATAGTGAAATATTGTGTTTCATGGATTATGACATTTGCTTTGCGAATGGATGTTAACCCTTTAATATGATTATGGACTTCGAGATTTTGTCTGTCCCACATCATTTGAGAATGCTCTCTCAGTGTATGGATACTTGTTTCGACAACATTCTTGTTGTTCTACAACTATTCTTGTTGTTATGAGTATTGGTTAAGTATTTATCCTTTCTTCAATAAATATTGTAATGGCTTCTGTATGAATTCTATATAAACGAATATACTTGATCAACACAAGGTACCATTGACTGCACTGCATACGGGGTTTGGAGTTATATAACAAGAATACTATGATACGACGTCAGATACTGTACATCACGGCGTAACATTGTAATTGTTCATTTTACCGACAAAATGCAAAGATTTACGCGATGAATATGCGCAATAATGCTCCTCCAAGTAATTGCAAAAGTTTTAATATTCGTGGAATCTTCTTAAAAACTTCAAGTTTTGTTCAGATTAAAGTGCGCTTCAATACAATTCTATATTCAAAAAGGTTGTGTCACGATATACAGGATTAGAATCACCAGAAAGTAGACATTTCAAACCCTACCCGTTTTCTTCTTTGTCGCGCTTTTCGGCCCTGCGCTCTCGTTGTCGCACCGTCTTTCTAGACTCTTTCACAGTGCCCCTTGTCATATTCAACTGATATACACAGACGGGAAAATATTAAGGATTGTTAAATTTATTATTTGTAATTTATTTTAACTCGAATTTTTAACACAATAAATAATAAAGGAGAACATATAATACGCTAGCGGCATAACGTCTTATTTTGTAAAGGCTTCACAGCTTGGGGTTGCGGTGATAAAATGATGTCTATCTCAATATATACTGGTTCAAATTAAATGAAATTAATTGTATGTAGTGAGGGGTATATTTAAAAGAACATGCTGAAACATTGGAAAGTTTTGAATGTTTACCCCTTAATTAGAAATATTTGAACTCAAAAAATGAAACGTAATTTTGTGAATTTTTCACATGGCTTCACTTCATATTTCTTTCAATTTATACTTCTTACAGACTGAATTTTAATCGAAATGATATAGTTTTTTTGATAAAAATATAGAATATGATATGCCTTTCAGGAATCAAAAAAGAATAATTCACCTTTCAAACGATTTAATGTTTAATTGATCAAAATATATATCTTGTTGGCACGAAATTCTGCCTGTCCACACTTTTTTTGCATAAATATAAGCGTTAAGTTGGCATTGTTATATTATGACGTCATCACACAGAATCTGTTTGTCTTTTTCAAAATGGTGAATATAAATATTGTGAAAATTTGAGAAAGATTCGTTATGAAATGAAAAAGTTATCTTCATTTTTCGTTTAAAATTAAAATCATTTTTCTTCAAAATGTTACAGTCCACACCCGGTTTTAGCATAGAAAGTCGCATAATACGGCTTGCGTGATTCTCATTTAAAAAGTCCCAAATCAGTTATTTGGAATTCTGATAGGCAAAATATTTCATGGACATACGTGTTCAACTGATGACGAAAAATTGTAGAAAAATATGATTTTGCTGTCGAGATATTGCGGTTTTAAAAGTAAGTACGCATGTAAAAATGCGGTAAAATCCCGCGATGTACAGTATCTGACGTCGTATCTATAGACGTGTCGCAAAAAGGTGGCGCATTTGTTTTTTAAGGGTATCGCGTGAATGTAACTTTGATTCCCCGGATTATAAGATAATATTCTAATTAAAGTTATATATCATTTTAAAGCTGTTTCGATGAAGATTTTAGATCAACTACACTCCGTTCACATTTTTTGCGCGTTCGTTTTTAAAAAAGAGTTTTTTACCAAGACATCTGGCAAATATCCCTTGTTGACACGTTACATTTTGAATTATTTTTCGTCTTTAAACGCTCATAACTCAAACAATATATGACTATTATACTTATTTTTCGTCTTGATAAAGGTAGATAGAAGTTTTATTTCAAAGGATGACTTTTAGTAAGCGTCCCATATTGTGACGTCATAGAGTTTGAAAAATAGAATCTGTTGACAGCGACCTTTTTTGCTCATTTTTTGTTACCTTCAACTTTTCAGGTGTACATTAAACAAAAAATACGAGATCATTTTTTAATAAATCATACATGATTATTTTGCTCCTAAACTCTAGTTTATTAATAAATAGTTGATTTTGTTCGCAAAAGTATGTGTTTTCTGTTGTATGTGGAAAAGTGGAGGACGAAAGGTTTTCAAAATTCATCAAAATAGGGTTAATTTACGCCATTCGCCTATTTTCAAGCCCAGCAACACGTATATTTATTTCACCTAAAATATCAATTGATTCGTGTTTTATGATGCTCCTAGCCCATTAACAATATATATATGATATCAGAGTTATTCGTCTAAAATGTTTTGAGATATAGAGGTAAATGTGGAGGACGAAAGGATTTTCATGTGTGTACATTTTTCTCAAAAACGTCACATTCTATCATGTTAAAAGCGAGGATCCTCTGGATTACGCCACAAAATGTGTAACAATGCGTGCGCGAGCTTTTTGCGACACGTCATAGCATTTTAATGGATATAGGCCAAATCCTTATACACGAACAAGTCCCTCAATTCGATTGTTCACAGAAATGACTTTATTGTTAAAATGTACAATAATATATAACGTATATAGTATGTACATAATATACATACTGTACATAATGTATTTATATACAGATCATTTGAAGCGTCAACAATAATACAAATCAACGACTTAAAGTTCTTTATTAGTTTTCAGCTGGTATATCAAAACTTATCTGAATCAATGTAAATCGTGAGTTTATATCCAAATTTATTTTTTCTATGCAATGACATCATTAAATTACTGTGTTTTCCAATAATGATCCCTGTTATAAATGATTCAATAATCTAATAAAGCTACTATGAAAGCTGCTGTTGCAATAACATGAATGTTTTAAATTGACTCTATTGAGACTACAAATCAGAGCATATGGCATGTTATCAACTAAATTGTCAGCAAAATTATATTCAAATGATGCAATATTTTAACTTGTACAATCAATTGTCTGACAAAATTATAACAAATATTCACCCATTCATCTTTGTACATCTTGTGCGTGTAAAAATACAAATAAATATTTAATTTCAACGCAAATGTTTTTTGTACAGTTGATACATTGTTTTACCTACATAGACTAATTATTTACATGTTACATGATGGATTCATGATATCATGATATCCTGAATGGTACAGACCTGTAACGTATGATGATCACATAATGATATATATACATTGAATAATTTAATGAGTATTAATATATTGAGAGGTGTATTGCTAACGAATTAACAATTAAGTTTTTGGTTGGCATGACAACAGACACATCTTACAGTAAAGTGAAATAATGAATAGATATGAAAAGGAAAATAGATGAAAACATGCTTATGGTCATGTAAATAGATTAAACAAATATGAACGAATCCACACACATTTCCTGGTAAGGGGGGCAATTATGACAGTTTTTCAACTTGGTTTTAATAATCTAACTCAAGTGTTTAATAAAACTAAACTATGTACAGTTCATTTTTGAAAACTATAATACATTGTGATTTTTGACACACCGTTGCTCACATTTACAAAGTATTGAACACATTAATGTTTCAAATAATGATTAAATAATATTTAACACATTCTTTTAAAAAACATTTGAGTTAGTAGATTAAGTATTTAGTATATTGCTTTGTTCATTGAATAGAAGGCTATCTTCAAATCGTATTTAACTTTTAAGACGTTTTCTTACAAAATACACAATTCTTAACATTTTACAATGAATATCAAGGAAATGTTTTTATAATTATTTCTTGCTTGTATTTCTTTATTTAGAAATAAAGGAATAATACAGCGATACAATATAGGCATATGAGAAAAACGTTCATCTTCGTACCTGTACAAGATTACACCGAAAATCAGAGCCGAGAACGAGGATGAAGGTCTATTTGGAAAGGATAGTTCAAGATTATTCATTCTTCGGATTTGCTTGGATAATATTTCTTTATCTCCATTTGAGTGGATAGCGAACTATCAAAGCTCATCAAGAATAAGTGATCTTGCACGGGTACCCATGGCAGAATAAGTATATCTTCGGTTGGAGATAAAAATCATTTCTCCCAATTATTTCAATCATTGCCGATACAATGCTGAATACGAGCAAAGGTGTGTGCATAAGTAGTTTGACACTTTTATGATCATTAACATGAGTTTGCAACACTATCTTCTTTCTTACAAAATTAATCTAATTCGAAAATGCATGGTATACAAAAGTGGTAACAATAGTATTATATATTTTCTTCCCATATCTCACATGGAGCAAGGTTACCATTGGTAAATGGTCTATATTATGTAGCAAGAAACTAGAAGAAAATATATACCCCATTGAGCTTGTCATGATGGCCATACAACGGCTATTTCATCTGGTATTACCCCATCAAAAGTCGTGCCAAGACCTTTCAATCCAAGCCCTTCTAATACATTTAAAGACATAGTTACCCTCGGTTATCTCATAGAAATTGATATTTCATTGCAAAAATATTTCATGGTAACCATGACAGAGTGTAGAGGGAAATCTACCTTGTGATGGTTGGACCAAGTTTGGTGAAAACGGTTTGAGTTTATTTGGTTATATTTAGGTTAATAGCGGCAAGTAGTAAATCAGCAAATCAATGGTGGAGTGATACCATCAATTACTCTTACCATTTACAGTTTTATTCAATAAATTGGTTGTTAGCCATGTACATTTACAATTATTTACATGATATAAAAACTGCCCTCTTTAAATTATTGTAAAACCTCCAGAGTACAATATATGACCATCATGACAATTTTTAGATGCAGTTAAATATGAAACATTTGAAATCACGTCTCAGGTGGTCTTCTGCATTAGATAATATGTCCAATAGCAAACATTAAATCCTATAAATAGCGAAGGAAATAAGAGTCTTGAATATTTGTCTATTTGATTGACATCGTCAATTGTTGGTATTTTTTCTTTGAGTTGCTTTGCTTTATTCTTTATATTTGTGATCACCTTTTTTCTCTTTTGGAAGCCATAGGGGTTTTTTCTCCGCACTAAGTTCGGATGGCCTCTTACTGGATAAGAGGCTCGAGGAACTGTTGTTGGGATACGATATGTAGATGGCGATATTCTTACATTCCCATCATTGCAGTCATAATTAAAGTTTTGTTTGTTGCGTAAACTAAGTATTGGCGAGAGTCGCACTTCCTGTAGTTCTATATTATCGCCCTGGAAATCAGAAATGAATATTCAAATGAGTGAATGACGTCAACGTTCAAATCGCACGTAATTGGTTGGAAAAGCTGATATACATAAGTCTCAACAGTCAAAGGTGACCAAAGAAGCTGAATACAATTTTGACTTTGTATAAACCAAAATTCTTTCAGCTTATTTAAAAATAGATTTTAATATACATTGACAATACATATACACAATGACGGTAACAGACAAATCCTGTAACAACAATCGCTGCGCTAAGACAAATAATCCAAGAATAACCGAGTAAAAATAACTTAAAAATTATGTACATGAAAAACCTCATAAAGTGTTTGATAAAAGCATATGCTATGGCTTAAATATTATATTCTATTGTTAAGCTATTAATTTTATCATATACATATTAACTATATATTTATATATAGAGTTACGTTATATCTTCGAAAGATACAATACCAAATATGTAGTAACAATATCAGTTTACTGACTACACTTAGACAATATTGAATAATACCATATATTGTTATTAACCCTTATCCTAGATCGGCACATTATATCACAGTATATACATATACATTAAATAATCAACGTGAAAGAGATGAGAGAGCTCTAATAAAAAAGTATTTGCCTGATGAGTTATATATGATTGTTAACAGAAATCAAGGTCCTTAACGTAATAATGCAACCTATATTAAGCAGTGAGAGTTTGGTTGCATCCCCTAAATGATAGTGATAATGAAGTGTGGTGATAATCTCTAAGAGGTATCCAGCCTTACGTTCTGGACCACTCAAAATCGGAGATAAAATTTTGATGATTGAAAATCGCGCGTTGCAACTGCGCATGCGCATAATTTGCATATTTGAATCGAGATGATTATACCCATAGCCGAAAGAGCATTTGTGACAACATAGTGCAGTTGCACTGCATATCAATTTCAAATCAAAACAGTGTTTTTCACATATTATAATTTCGCCCAAAGCATCCATGGTTTATTTAGGATTAACCAATTTGCATGTCAAATTACCAGGTTGTTTAATAAGTTCACGTCCTCTCTTAAAATGTTCTTCAGAGAATCTTTCACTAACTTTTTGGGGGAAAATACCTTTGATGAAACACGAAAAATCAAATACCGTTTTATGATTGGATAAAAGTTAATGTTGTTATGGTAACTACTACACAAGACGTTTCGATTTGGTTATGTATTGTGATCCAACTTTGTTTGATATTGATATGCTGTGCAAATCGATGTGTAAATGTACTACACATATGTGCCCCCTTTTACGACATAAAACATCCATCATTTACCCCTTCGGTTACACATAGCGTAGCTGGTCTTACAACAGGCGATGAGTTATCAAAAGTTCCCTATGAAAACAGAATTTATTAGTTCATTATCTACATCTAAATATCCCCAGTAATATCAAGGAGTATTTTTCGAAACATTCTTGGAAATTCAAAGTCAGTTGTTGTAACCATGGTAATAATGATATCATGCTTAGAATTTCCAATTAAATTGTTCGAAAAACATTCCCGTGTCGTAATATCTTGCCATTCACTTTTTATAACAGTGAAATGACAGTAAAGAACTACCTCAATGGTATTTACAACATTTCATTTTTAGAACAATTTCAAACCCTCGTCAAAGTTCAAAATAGTATTATAAAAACCTGACACATCTATAAAATCTGTAAAATACATGTCATTTTTCATCTATCAAGAAGCCACCTACGTCACAAAGCTTCTATAACGTTTAGTTCCCTAAATGAAACATTCAAAGCAATGTATATGGTATACAGTATACGTAGGATCGTATCCATATGAAAACATTGAAAGACATAAACTAGTACACAATATTATTTTGAACAGTTCCATATATAGACATACAACTTGGACACACATTAACATATATATAGTTAAAAATGTTGGTCTATCTAACTGCACATGAGAGCAAATATGAATTCGAGGTACAATTAATAGGCAGTACTATTGTTAAAATATTGATAAAACTCTTACATATCCCTCCTCTTGCTCTTGTCGAGCGCGGTCAGCCGCCTCTTCCTCCATTTTTCTTTTCCGTTTCTTCTTCGCTTTGGCACCCCAGTATGTGTAGTTCACGGCGGCGTACTCCAGCAGTGCCGCAAATACAAACACGAAGCAGAGTACTAGGTATATGTCTATAGCTTTCACATATGAGATTCTTGGTAAAGTAGACCTAACTCCGGTACTGATGGTTGTCATTGTCAATACCGTCGTGATACCTTGAACACACGTATAGCGATCATTTAAAATCGTATTTGTATACGTCATTACAGTGTATAGTTTACATGTACGTCTTAAAATTCACCACTTATTCCACTACATGATGTAGCAATTTATCTATAACATACAGAAAATGAATAGTCCCGAGATAGAACACATAGGCTTATTATGTAATTTGAATATTTCGTTATTTGTAAAAGTACAATAAAAAGTTCCATCTTATATATCAATACGAAAAAATCAAATCGATCAAATTGTATTAGCACTTTTCAAAGAATTTTTCCTTCCAGAGAATTTTAATAAGAGTTTTAGTGATCTTAATTTACAGAAGAATTTTCAGCAAAGGAGAGTTAGCTTTAGTTTCCATCCAACGATTTTATTGAATTGTTAATATACTATCTATATACACAATTTTGAGTTATGTATTACGTTGTAGAGTAGTAGTGCAATGGCGTTAGATACAAACTCCACAGAGCTTGGTAGTATTTTCGTCCCTTGTTGGTCGGTTGCAACGTGGTAACAAAGCAAATATATATCCGTAAAGACACATCAATTGGTTATATATTTATGAAACTGTAACCACTTTCAAACCAAACAAGTTGTACCGATATACGTGATAATAAGTGATGATTAGTACAGTGAAAGAGTTAACGCTGTTATAAAAGCACCTCGAACAACACACCTCCTTCACTCACCAATCATCATACGGGCAACTGCTACGTCACCAGTTTTAGTTTTTAACCAGCCAATCAATGTATTGCTGTTTCCTATTTTAATAACAGCAAAGTGGTGCAACATGCTATTGTTTTTCTATTGTTTTTATGTTGATGGTTGTAATGAATATGTTAGACACATGTTATAATGCATACTATGGGTATCAATTTGCCGAGAGTGTTAAGGGAACGTTTGTAGACCGCCAAATTACAGTTTAAAGGCGTTATCACACGTCAGATATTTTTCTAATATTTTTACATAAGATCTTATGATCTATATTTGCAATTTCCACAGTACATCAAAAAGCTAAACCCTTGTTAAAATGCATGTACATAATATAATATTATGGTACTACAGATATTCTAAAGGCTGCTCTAAAAGTAAATGTCAGATACATATTAATTAAACAAATAAACATATCTTGATTTATCCCACATAGAACCCCATTTTGAGTTTTTCAACAATGTTTCAAATACATAGTACGTACCTAAAGCAACTCTAGCGGACGTTGCCTCGTGATTTATCCAGAATGAAACCCAGGACAACATCACAATAAGTATTGATGGCAGGTACGTTTGAAACACAAAATACCCTATATTCCTCTGCAGTAAAAAACTGAGCGACAACCTCTGGTACGCACCTATAACAAAAGAACTACATCTTTCAGAATACACCCATGTGTTGTGCATAATTAGGACATCAATTATATAAATCCTACCAGTATCTATCAAGTATTGGCTGAAACGAAAAGATTACAAACAGACCAATCCTGGAGTTAATCATACAGTTTTAGGACAAAAATAGGTTTACCTTATTGCTAATGTTTATATTCAAACAGTGAAGCCCTCAAAGTAAGACATCACATATTTAGTCAATATACTCCATTTGGTGGAATGGTCTATGTATATTATAGATTTTATTGGTGTCCAGTATACTGTTAGTAGTGTATCACTATATTGAAAGAAGTACTTAATCGTTAGTAGGTAAGGGCGACCAGCGAAGCAAATATAATGCGTGCTACTGCGGTAACTTCATATCACACAAGTGCGTTATGAATTCAAATTAAGATAAAGTCAAACACTACTGAAACTTTCAACTTAACCATCCGATAAGGAATGATATGGAGACACAATTAACTTCTTAGCGCGGAGCTAGAGGTTACTCATTTGGTTTGTCTTTCCAATCATTTTATATTCTTAACACTTTATAGGTACATGTACAATATACATCCAATGCAAGTGAATATAGCCCTTCTTGTAAATAACATATCATGTTAGTTGATTGTAATCCAACAATGAAGCAAATAACATCAAAGCATGTAATGTTAGCTGTACAACATTAACTTTTCAATGAATAAAATCACAAAGCCATAGAATTTTGTTAAAATAACTAATCCAACGTAATTTGACATGTCATGCTTCATGACGGGTTTTTGGGCTCTGTGTTTTACCTGAACTACAATTACCATTGGGTTTACCAAAATTTGAAATCTTGGAACGATGTATATAACTCAAAACTCAAGTATGAAACTCAAAACTTAAGTATGCAATAATGAACGACTAGAGATGGATTTCGAATTTGGTCTTCATGACGGAAGAATGAGCTCTTGCTTTGACTCCATCTTTTAATATATATATTTCCATACATAAATCATAGAAATTATATCCATGTGTATGGTAACCTGAGCATATAATTTTTGTGATAGAGTAGTTCCATATACAAAACTTTGGCATTCTATCTACAAACAACGTTAAGGTCTTCATGTCTGGCTTACAGAGTAACGTTGCATCATCAGTTCTTCTGCAGTTTTGGCTGGTTTGATGTGTTAGTAGGCCTAGTTCATACATTCTCAACATTTAGATTAGTATATTTGCATAAACATGCAAAATGAACATCATCTGTACAATTGTAAATAGTTATTCATTCGTCACATTGGATTATTATGTAATTTATCTTTATTTCTCCATTTAATACTTACGCAGTAGTAGCAATTGAGCGCAATAAGTGAAACCTTCAATTTGATGTGAAACATTTTTACATTGTATTACTAGGTATAATTACAATGCGTTATAATGACACCAATGAAATATTACGTATTATAGAATTTGGCAAGTTTGGTGTTTGTAGTTCTAATACACAGAATGATTACTAGTACGTAATTAAACTGTATCACTGAAAGTTTCACCCCAATGAAAAGTGACCATTGTCTGTTAGAAGTTAGCAGCTGCTTTTTACTCATACTACTGTTCAATGAGATACTTTCTTGTCGTACCTAGTACTTATACAGGGTGGTCCAAAACTGAATCGCTAGGAAGGGCTATATCTCAGCAACTACCAATACTAAAGAGCTAAGACGAGACACCAAAACTTGTTTGGCCATAATATATGTATCATTATCAGGGCTCGGTCCGAGAAGAATCAAGGCTTAGTAACAGAAGTGTAACCACACCTGAACGTGTGGATGTTGCGCCCGATCCAGGAACATTGTTTGTAACTACTTATATACAGTAGATTAACCATTAGTACATTTACACTTGGAAGATATAATCGATGCCAACTACTCAAACACTTTTGAGGACCTCGTCGCGAATTCTATAGAGCAGGAGATTTGCGACATCCCACGAAATATTAAAGAGAGATCTATGAATTGAAGTTCTCAAACGCTCATGCCGCAATAGTTATTGCAAAACGTCAAACATGGATTGAGCATATTGTCCATAAATTCAGGTGATGTCACTTTTCAAACATCATGCTCAGGATTGACTTAGGTGATATAACCAATAAAAACGTTGGTGTTTCCTCTTTAAGATGGACAAATTAACTCTTTTCTAATGATTCGACTTTTTGGACCACCATGTTTATGATATTAAAACTTTGTAATGTAGTTATTTTTTTTAATTATTATGAAAAAACACTAATGGCTGCCTCAAGTTAATTAGTTGGTTATTTTGCGATAGCTGATGCATTTGAAAGTTTGGCCACTTGGTATCGTCTTTTTGATACTACAGTGTATTATGACACTCAAGACTATCCCAAAGGGAACACGCCAAGATAAAATTGTAAACTATGACAGTCTTGACATAAACTACAACTTAAACCTGATCTTGACAATGTCCTAGGCTGAAAAGTGTGATCAACATTATTTATTTCAAAACTGATACCATACTATTTAAAACCAATAGGCCATTCTCTCAAGTTTACAACTGCATTGTTACCTCTATAATTTAAGTTGCGGCGGCTCATCGCTGCAATGGAGAATATCAAGTTTCTTGAAGAAGACACAAACTGAGGAAAAAATTCAAACAACTAATTAACTTGAAAGAGCATGCCTTTATCTAATGTGACAAATGTAAATATCAAACATCCGGGACACTACAAACATAGCAGGATGCAGTTTAGTTAAAACTGGTTAAAACTGGTAAAACTGGTAAAAACTGGTAAAACTGGTAAAAGTGAGAATCTTATAACAATATGCTGCAATATGGTTGTTTGTAACGAATATTGGATGAAAGGATTCAAACATGAGCTCTGTCAACAATTCAAACATGAGTTCTGTTGAATATTAGTAGGTATCCCGTTATGTTTTGGTGCTCACTTTGTAATTGTACATTCAAAAGGATAATCAAACCTGACCGAAAATGATAAGCTCAAGACAATGGTTCTTCCATATTTTATATACAGGGTGGCTAAGTATACAGTCTCTACATTTTCGTAGTATTGTAATTGTAAAGACACTTTATGGACACCCTGCATACCGTATATGCTTTCAGAAAACATTAAAACAACTGACCTCCATAGTGAATATAGCTGGCTATAAAACGTCACAGGTGTCTTAGATCAAGTTTTCTAAAATATGTTAGTCAATGGGAGACAAAAAAATTTGACCGAGAAAAAGTGTTCACATTGAGAGCTTGGATTGGAGAGGATACACTGGAAATGAATTACCATTGCCAACCAAAGTCTTATGAATTGAACAAGCCTATTATTTTCGTTAGGTTCAATATGTACAATTACAATTATTTTCTACAAGCTTTGTATAAATAGATGGCGTGGTGATAACAGTTCATTCTGTGTCTTATGCAATTACCTGGCCGACGACCTATTCTCCATTCTAACGATGTCCGCCATTAGTATAAAAATAAATATTTTATAATACCCAAAAATGTTACAAAAGCAAGAACAGAAATGAAACCAACTTAAAAGGTATCAAATGTCATACATTCGAATAAGGCGGTGCTTTAATTAGGAACAATATTGGTGATTATTGCAAATCAATAGTTTCATGATAAAGGATATTACAAAATTTACACTGTTAATATAATTGTTTGATGAAGCGTGCATGTATAAATCACGAACCATTATGTAAAAATCTTGCTTACTAGTTGTATTGCCAGTGAGATATGCCAACAACACCGTTTTTATTCCAAATAACATATTTTCACATCGAATACACAAAACTCTGTGATTTATGAATACATTAATTTGATATATGAGTAATTTGTTCCTGAGTGATAAACTGGCGATACAACCTAAATGTTATGGTTGTTTTTTGTTACAGGTTAGGAGACCATGCCTTTTGAAGAATTATCAGGAAGTATTTGGTTATGTCAAGATATAAGCGAATAATGGCCAAAAGAATTGAACATGCACTATCGTATTTTATTGTAAAGGGTTCCTAAAAGGTTTCAAATAGCGTAAAGTGATGTGGAAACATTCCAAATAATTAGACTTGCTACAAAAAGACCATACAATACAGACATGGCAGCACCAACGTAATTTCAACATCACCACCACGTGTTGGTTTAGTTACCTGTTACTAGTCTTTCAATTCTTTCCCCAGGATACCATTGGACAATATCAAACTGAGCCAGCTCTACCTTGTCGATGCCCTTCACTGCATCTGTATTTCCCCTCCAGTGCATCTCGATATCTTGCATAGGATAAGCATCTGTAATATATGAATATAAGTGTTTCGTTTCGAGTAAAACCTCGATACGTCACATATCTTTCATCTGTAATATATGAACATCATGAGTGTTTTCCTTTCCAGCAAAACATAATATCTTGCTTACTAGTATATGGTACGCATGCATCTTTAATATATGAACATAAGTATTTTCCTTTCCAGCAAAAACTTAATATCTTGCTTACATTGCTTATATGGTATACATCTGTAATATATGAACATGAGTGTTTTCCTTTCCAGTAAAAACTTAATATATTGCTTACATGGCACGCATCTGTAATATATGAACATAAGTGTTTTCCTTTCCAGTAAAAACGTAATATCTTGCTTATACTTGTATGGTACGTATCTGTAATATATGAACATGAGTGTTTTCCTTTCCAGTAAAAACTTAACATCTTGCTTATATGGTACGCATCTGTAATATATGAACATGATTGTTTCCTTTCCAGTTTGAACATAATATTTTGCTTAATTGGAACGCATTTTCCTTTCAAACACAAGCTCGATATCTTGCTTACATAGACTACGCACTTGCAATTTATGAACATGTGTGTTTTCTCGATATCTGGCATAGGATACGCATCAGAGATAAGTTAACACGAGAATTTTTGTTTCAAGTAAAAGCTCAAAATGTTGAAATATGCTAACACGAGGTTTTCATTTTTAGTGAAAACTCATACCTTGCTTAGAATGTCCATCAGAAAATTATTCATTATCAAGAGTGAAAATCAAAGCAACAAGTTCGTCAATCATATAACCCATGTTAAAGCTATACGAACTATTGAGAATTTCTTATCCACGTCAGGTATTAACAAATAGGATCAGATAAAGCATATATCATCATAGGAATATATCTCCTTTTTATTAGAGATTAATATTTAACACACCAACAGATGTTCGTTACACGTTGCCGATGGAACGAGGCTACGGAAAGTGTATAAACAGAGGCATGAACTTGTGAATCCTTTACTTCCGAAAACCAACCAGTATTTGCACGGTGACCACATAGTATGAACTAGGCATTAATCGGGGCATTAACATGTAAAATGTTGGAGACGACTGTAACAATATGTAGTTACTTGTAGTGGTGACATAATTTTATACTTATGATGTCGAGAAAAAATACCATGGCCGGTATACGGTTGATAATGTTGAGTGAACTGCATTTTGTAAATATCCAATTATCTGAAGCAAGCAATCAAAAATAAATATATGCATAATTGCATGCATTGTTTGCATTTAAACCTATAGTACATTTACAAATATATTGTCACTTTTTTATGTATACTTTGATGTAAAACTTATTGAATTAACAATATACTCACAGCTCTCAATTTCAACTGTGCAGTTCTGCATATCTAATGGATAATTGTGAAGATCCATCATACAAGCTAAGGTAGTGGTAAACCTGTAAAATGCAAATGTGAATTTTGTAATGTATTACTGTACATTGTTTCAATAATTTTACTATCGTACTTCTTAAATCAAAAAGCACAAAAGAATATAAATCATTCCAATCTATTACTATAGTATTTGGGGTAATGCTGATAAAAACTTATCGAGCCTCTGCATATACTCCAGAAGAAATTTGCCAGGTTAATAACAAATTCTAGTAAGTTATCTCATGCCGCCCCTTTATTGAAAGATCTTAGAATCTTAAATATTTATGACATGTTTAACTTCAATGTTACCAACTTTGCATACCAAAAAATGAATAAACCTGACAAGTTCCCACATCACTTTTTTAAACAATTCTATTCTACAAATGCTGATACACATGACCATGAAACTAGAAATAAAGACCGTCTACGTTCATATATGTTAAAAAATATAATGTCATAGTTCATTTTGTTCATGTTTCATTGCTAATCTAGTGATCCTTATCATCAAGGAATGTACTATTGCTATATATATATTACAATGTAATATGTAATGTGGTGTAAACTGCACAGTATACGCCAAGCGTCTTGTGCAAACCTTGTTATTCAAATTGTAATAATTATAATATTAAAATAAATATAACATAACATATACTATATACAGAACACTGTTTGAAGCAGTTCATAAAGTGAATCATCATATTAAAGATAAATTTCAGGTACTGTAATTGATTCCACATACACCAAAGACCATGCCATGTTTTTTACAAACACTATAGGATACACTGGTATTGAAATAAATTGCATTGTGTTTTATGTATTGGCATGCCCATGGGCAATGGCTATTGATATTTAGTTAGATATTCAAGGAAACGTTTGTACTTAATCAATTTACGTGTTTAAGCTAATATTTTGCTCTTCTTCTCAATACGCTAATCAAGCTACTATTCTATACCGCTAATAGATTTTTACCTTTTTCAGTTGTTCTCAATAGATTGAGTTTCTTTTACAGTGAACTTATTTCTTGATGGATAACAAATGATGAACCATTACACGAGTAAAATACCAAGTGACAATCGTAAGCTCGTGAGTAAATAAGCAATTTATATAACTTTACAATTAGACATCCCTTATACATGAATCATGGGCTTTAACTGACCTGGTCGATACAAACTGACATCCCTTCGACATTTCATTGATAATCAATCAATTTCCAAAGAAAACATTATTGTTCATTGATGGACACGTGACCTTTTTAGGTGGGTGGATGTAACATTTGGTCACGTGTCCCTAAATGTGGAAAAGATATAAACAAAAGTGCGGCAAGCAAGTCTCGAATTTAGGACCCTATGCAACACCGAAGCCCAACAGCATTGCTAATGTTACATTATTGAGAAACACTAAGACGTCCTTAACAGACATACAAGGGCCGATCCAGAAGTCCTGATACAGCATTTTTATCAGAACTTCTGGATCGGCCTTTGTATATATATGTTATTAAAATTAAAGAGGGTCAATCGAATAAATATAATACACCCGGTCAACAGGTTGGTGAAAATCTATTTCATCAGCGCATCTGCGGTGTAGTGTCTTGAGTAAACCAATCAGCCGATGACTTCAATTTATTTAAATGACTAACGAAATGTAGCAACTATACTAATATTGCAAATTCGACAGATTTCTTAAGTTTCAAAATGTACAAATGCATTTGTAAACTGAAAATATACGTAACGAAATGCTATATCAACCATTACGAATACCCGATTCATTGTTTTTCGAGTAAAAATGGATCAAAACACTTTAAAACACTTATTTAGAGGTGAGATATATCCTACTGAGCTAGAATTGAAAAAGACTAATGAATCTGATATGAGTGCACCTTATCTGGATCTTCCTATTAACATTGAACGAGACAACAGTATATATTGTAAATTATATGACAAAAGAGATGACCTTAATTTTGACATTGTTAATTTTCCACATTTGGATAGGAATATCCCACTAAACCCAGCATATGGGGTTTATGTATCCCAGCTTAATAGATATCGCAGGGCTTGTTCAAAATATCTAGATTTCAAATCAAGACACCATATTTTAGTGACCAAGCTGTTAGGACAAGGTTATACCTGTAAAAAACTTAAGAAATCCTTTCTAGGCTTTGCTGAAAAATACAAGTCATTAATTTTGAAATTGCAAATTTTACCACTTGAGATGCTGAAGGATGTAGGAATGGTATAACAAATTTGCAATGAACTCACAATTTTTTCACTTGGCACCTTTTGAGGTGGATCCCGGCTATGACATTAATGGTTGAGAAATAGGTATCGAAACCAGCCATAGTTTTCTCCTGATGACCATTGTGAATTGTTGTGTTTTATGGATTATGATGATGGCTTTGCGAACGGATGTTGACCCTTTGAATTGCCTATAGACTTCGACACTGGATTTTATCTATCCCACATCATTTGAGACTGAATACTCTTTTATGGGTACTAGTATCTACAACTATTTTTGATGTTATGAGTATTGGCTATCAATTTTTTCTTCAACATGTATTGTAATGACTTCAATATGAATGAAATGTCTCTTGGTGTTCTGGTCCTGGATCGTGATATTGGTTCTCGATTGGAGGGGGGGGGGTGTTAGACATTGTTTCTTTTCACGTTAGATCATGGTTTTGGGATATATAGGGTCTACTTTTCTTATGACAGATTTATACTAACAGTTTGCTTTTCTTGTTGGGTTTCCTTAAAGTTTTTAGTCACCCTTCCCTTTTGGCATTTGTGCTTATATATTCTGACAACGCGAAGGTTGTTCGAAAGGTTTATTCAATTTCAATACCATATATTTTGAAACGAGGAACACACCAAAAAAAGAAAACATCTAAGAGTGTAACAGTCATAAGGAAAACCAACGACAACCATCCAAAATCATTATCCAACATGAAAAGAAACAGTGTCAAATACCCCTTCCCAACCATTCCAGTATCAATATCACATTCCGAGATCATAACACCAAGAGACATTTCATTCATACTGCAACCTTTACAATCCATGTTGAAGAAAAAATTCAAAACTGATGGCCAATACATGACCCATATCAATGTATTTTCCTTCAACAGCGGAAACAAAAAATACTACGGGAAAACACAACCGAGAAGCATTTAACTTGTAAGGTATAAAATAATCCCAAAATGTAATGAGATGTAATGTGACTTTCAATCAAATGCTGAAAAACTACATCCGGATCTGTCATATAAGAAACATACATTCTGCTTAAGAAATGTCACCTTATGAGTTTTGACTAATCGATATCTTAACTAATGCTAATATGCTACAGGCTTTTGAAAAGCTTGAAAAATAGCTACTAAATCACAAGGGTGTCAAACTAATATTCATTCACGAAGACATAATACCATTTAGAATCCTGTTTAGCATTTTCAATGCATACGTAATCCATAATAAATAATCCAAGGCGTCAAATGACAATTGAAAATCCTTCTAATTCTATGATAGATAATCAAAAGTCATACTAGTAATGCATAGATGTAAAAGTACACGACTTTACATATTAACTAACCTCATTCCATATGCTATGCTTCCGTTACCATAAAGCCGCACCATTTTATTTTTCTCTGTGACGTCATGTAAAAAAGAATGTTTATCATTTGCAAAGAATGTATCTGGCACCCATATTTTTTCAGCAAAATCCCCTGTTAGGGTCATGTAGTCTGTATCTGATTTGTCTGAGAACTGGAGGCGTTCATCCCTCCAATACTGATTGAGGTACATTGTGATTGTGTAGTCCTGAAAGAAAATAAAACAAATATTGATGTCTGAAAATTGTGATTATGTAGTCCTGAAAGATAAGTAAATAAATGTTGATGTCTGAAAATTGTGATTATGTAGTCCTTAAAAAAAGAAAACAAATATTGATGTCTGAAAATTGTGATTATGTAGTCCTGAAAGATAAGTAAATAAATGTTGATGTTTGAAAATTGTGATTGTGTAGTCCTAAATTATTGAGTTGTAACATTATGATTGTGTAGTTCTAAAAATGACAAATAATAATTTTTACACATTGTGCATGTGATTTTGTGTAGATATTAAAAACAAATGATGATTGAGTTGAAGATAAGCTTGATCCCATGCATCACGAGAAGTGGTGTCTGAGTTCTTTTCTACTTCAGATAATTGGAAACAGAAAGATGTGATATCAGAATGGACTCCTTGGCAGGGCTCGACCTTGGCTGAAAACTACTTTACTAAATAGGTCACTATAAATTTTTGTTATCCCCATTTATTGATTACGACGTAATCAAAACACGTAAACATCAATAAATTAGTCTTAATATTACGGATGCATTACATTCATGTCTGAGTAGTGTCCTTGCAAAATAAAATTCTAAAGAGATCATAAATCATAAAACAATGTAATGATGTTAAAGTTATAATTACATTATTTTAAAGTAATTAGATAGTAGAATTTTCTAGGTACAGGGTGATCCAGAAGTAACGTCAAAGACATTGTAATTTCAAAAGTATTCATCAGATCTTCATGAAATTTGGTATACATGTACCCACAACATTTCTGAGTTACCATCTCAAAGATTGGAATTCAATCATTTCATTGGTTGAAATTATGGTTGCTATAGTAACCCGATATCGCGTAACCCGGGGCAAATTGAAGAGAAACCATAACGTTTTTGTGAATTTCTCTAATTTAAAAAGTCAGTAACATTTGAAAATGTTCATTGTTTGTTTTCTATGATTTTTATATTTGTTGCCATGGTAACAAATATGTAATAGTTGTGATGTCACAATAGGCATTCATAAAAAGCTTTCAATTTCTTTGAATTGCTTCCATCATCCATGACAAATACTAACATGACCAAGGACACTAACCCACCCAATTCAAGATGGCGCCAAGTTAGAGTAAAATAGAGCAAAGAACAAACATTAAGTTCTGTGTAAAGTTGGGGAAAGGTGTAAAAGAGACTATAAGACAGATAAAGAAGGCATATGGTAAAGCTGCCATTGCTGAGAGAAACATTTACAGGTGGTTTAACAAGTATTCCAGTGGATATGATGAAGTGGTAGACAAGCAGCGAGGAGGCAGGCCAGTGTCGTCATTCGATGATCAAACCATCAAAGCAATTGAAGCTGATGTTATGGACAATAGGCAAATTTCTATCAGAGAATTGGCTGAAAAACACGATCTGAGCTATGGGACTGTGCAACGGATACTGACAAAGAACTGTTTGTTAAAGAAGGTGTCTGCTAAATGGGTGCCGCATGACTTGACACAGGAGCAGAAAGACCGGCGTGTTAAGGCTTCAAGGGACTTTCTTGCAAAATATCGGAGAGATGGAGATGACTTTCTTAACAAGATCATTACGAGTGACGAATCATTGCTATCATTCTACATCCCAGAGACCACGCAACAAAGTTCATCGTGGAAACATGACAACTCCCCAACACCAACCAAGCCTAAAATAGTACCAGGAATTCCACAAAAGAAACAAATGGTTGTGACATTCTTTGACATTAGAGGAATGGTGTTAACCCATTTTGTTCCCATTGGCCAGAGAATTAATGCCGTTTACATTGCAAAGGTAAGATATCATTTGTTCTAATAATACATCATACTGTGAATTTTATTTTTAAATTAAAGTATTTAAATGTTGTTCACTGTCAATATAATTATAACTCCATGGCCATGATTCAAATCCAAATCCAATCAATGAAACAACTGGTTTAACAACCATTAAACATTTGTTTTTCAGGTTCTGAAGCGTGATCTTCAACGTTCCCTGAGGAAAAAGCGTCCCGGACATCTGCAGCAGTTTATCTTGCATTGGGACAATGCCCCTACGCACACTGCAATCCTGACCAGCAACACAGTCCAAACACTTGGATTTCAACAACTTGAACATGCCCCTTATTCACCTGATCTTGCCCCCAGTGACTTTTATTTGTATGGGGAACTAAAAAGAAACCTTAGTGGAAATAATTTTCAATCCTGTGAGGAATTGAAAAATGCCGTAGTACTAGCCCTACAAGGAATGAGTTCTAATGGATTTAATTCTGTGTTCAAGGAATGGGTATCCAGACATGAGAAATGTGTTGCAAATGGTGGCAATTATGTAGAATGAACTATTATTAGTAACTGTGCAATAGTATGATTTATATTGTTGTGAAATAAAATGTTGAGGATATAACAATTTCAGATCTTGTTGATATTTTGAGATTACGCATTACACGTTAAGTAATTTGCCCCGGGTTACGCGATATCGGGTTACTATAGCAACCATAATTTCAACCAATGAAATGATTGAATTCCAATCTTTGAGATGGTAACTCAGAAATGTTGTGGGTACATGTATACCAAATTTCATGAAGATCTGATGAATACTTTTGAAATTACAACATCTTTGACGTTACTTCTGGATCACCCTGTAAGTCATACCACCCATGTGTATAACATGGTCCCAAATGATCCATTTTGTACGTTATGATGTATGGTCGAATAAATACTCAAACCAACGAAAAAAAGATGAAATGTGACTTAAACTACTAATATTAATGACTCTCCACGGTCGATTTAACTCACGCTACATAAAAGTCTTATAAAATTCCCTGAGGAGTTTTTAACGACGTATCATGTCATATTATTCATTTGAAGGTTATAAATAATATTCAGTAATTCACGAGGCTGAATACACTGAGACCCACGAATAAGAAGAGTATGATATATTCTGTTTGTTCTATGTTCTTAAATAAATCCTTTGACTACATTTGCACATACAGTGTGATTCAGAAGTAACGTCAAAGATGTGTTGCCATTTCAACACAACTCGACCAATCTTCGTGAAACTTAGTACAGATGTTCAACAAACATAATGTGTGTATATCTTTAATATTAAGAGTCTGGTGTTTCCTCGGTTCTCTATTATGACGAATGCCTTAGTCTCATTTGATCTACGGCAACCGTACGACCGCCGTAGAGCACATTACTGTATAAATCATGATTGTTGGTATATTGGAATGTTTGCACTTAGGACTGTTGCAAACTTTACATTGTAATCAACACAACAAGAAGTGCCAAACAACCTATTATGGTCTTATATATACTATATATCTGTCTTAAAACCTCTTGTTAACAGACCTTCCCAATGGTTCCTGATCCCTTCTGGTGAACCATGGGACTAGAGTATTATGATTTAGGATATCGTACTTTGCAAGTCTTTTGAAAATAAGCATTAGTTAATCATATGCCCTGAAACTGCGAGCCATCATAACGTATGCCGCCAAAACAAATAGGTGACAGTCAAAATACATAAGGGTTATGTACTGGGAGGTTTTGGATATGGGGTTTATCCAGAGGGAGATATACATATCAACCTGAGGGACCGTAGGGACCGAAGGTAGATGTGCATATCTCACGAGGGATGAACCCAATATCCAAACCGACCGTACATAACTGCTTTAAACTATACAAGTAGAGTTTCTAATTTTCTTTCAAGTTTTTTTCATTTTCTCAATTTTTTCACATTTTTCTAAAATTTTTTCAATTTTTTCAATTTTTTCTATTTTTTCTTTTTTTCAATTTTTCAATTTTTTTTCGAAGCGGGAAGATTACCCTGGAGCGGGAGATATGGCGGGATATATGGAGGTTCAGGATATGGAAACCTCAAAATCAGGATAAGGGATATATCTTAGCAACTTATCTCCATAAAACTCTACTTGGCATAGGATAAAGTAAGATATATAGAGGGAAAATATATTATATTGGCCAAGGGATAATCCCAATATCCTGAACCGACTATAGGATAATATGTTTATCCCATACCAATCTTGGTCATCTGGTTCACATTGTTCAATCGTGGAAATATTTAAGAATATTCATGTCCAGTTTTGTTTTCTTGGCCGTGGGCGGATTTTCCTGTTCCCTCAAATATTCCCACATTTATTTTCTCGAATTTTTTGATTGATTAAGTGGATGCTCCTTCCCTTTTTTAAACCATCAAACAGATCCCGATTGTCTATGTTTTCTCCATTGTCGTTTACAGTCATTACGCGAACGTTACTTAGGAACAAATATGCGAGCGGCGATTATGACGTAGCGGGCAGATATACTATATCTGCCCGCTCGGAGCGGGACGTAAAGCTATATCTGCCCGCTGATGAAAATATAAGTTTTTACAAACCGGCTTTATGTACCTGTAACACGTCCAAGTATGGGATAAATATCTATATGTATCAATGAAAATTGAAGTGGTTGATCGACAAAATGATATATGCGATATATGGACTATAATTGACTAATATTTGAATTAACTTCGTACTAGTTAATGGATGTTGGATAAATGTCCAAATTACGTCACGGTCAAATTCAATTACAGTTTGATAAAAAATAATTTGCCTGAACAGGAAACACTTCATCCCTAGTGGCTACCGTGTAACAGAAAGAAATAGTGTAACAAATCTCCTGTTATCATGATATGTAGGAAAGTGACATCAATTGGGATATGTTCTAAAGGAATACAGGCGTAAACGTTAGGATTAGTGGTCGACTAAAAAAATATGGCTGAAGTGGTATATAATATAGTTTACCCAACTGTTTCGCGATTAGCATAACTAGCCTCGGAGGAGGCTGCGAGGTTTTGATACAAGAGCATAATAGAAAACATTAAAAATTCTTTACTGGTGTATATGTGTAAATGATCATATTGGAAGGCCTTTGTCCGATAATCGAATAAGAGATCCATTCGGACTCAAAATGGTGTATCGCCATTTGGGAACAT